AGTTGAGAGCTTGAAATATTCCTCAAAAGCAGAAAAAAAAAATTAATGGGCAGTTGGAAAAGGAGAGAGAGCAGCTGAACAGGAAGAACTGAGAACACTGCCTCTGGCTAATGAAGGGATGCCAGGCAGAGATGCTCCAGGTGATGAGAAGTGCTCACCCCCCACAAGGAGACTGAGTGACAGCTCTGTCACTAGAGTGACAGCTGAGGACAACTAGTCTCACTAAGGGGCAGATTAACCGTCAGCCAAGGCAGGCTGCAGATAGTCCACAAGGATGGAAAGCATTTGGGCAGGAGCTGGTTACGGCAGAGGCAAAGAGATAGGCTTCCTGAGACCAGGAAGCACAGGTCCTCTGGGGAAAGGAAAGGACTGCCAGGACCACGAAAGAGGGAAGGTCAACAAAAGTGTTTAGGGCTGGATGAGACGGGACCTCTCTTCCTGGAGCCAACCATTAGGGCAAAAGGCAGAGGAAAGGCACTGGCCACAGAAACACGGGCCCTACAATTCAAACCCAGACAGTTGGATGAGGGAGGGCAGGATGCGCTATTGGAATGGACTGAGATTCTGGCCAATCTAGGCAGGAGTGTGCCCCTCAATGATCTGGTCTATGATTTATTTATATTTGCATGCAGAACAATTCAGAAATGTTTAACTTGCAAAATTCTCTGAGTTCTGTTTGTTTGATTTTGGTTTTACGTTGATTTCCCTCTAAGAGCTCCTGATATGTTTTAACGGCATGTTGGTATCTCCAGGAGATGTATGCACCCCCAATGCTGGTTAAAGGCAGTGGAGATACAGTTTCCAAATTCAGAGTCTCCAGGAGGTAGCTGAGGAAGCAGCTGATCTACCCTGCCTTTGCCTTGGGAAACTCATTATAGGCCGCCTAATTTTCTAACAAAAGCAGAAGAACACCAAAAGCTGGATATTCTTTTAAACCTATGAGAAACCTGAGGGGATAAAGGGAAGATAGAAGGTCTGGGATTTAATTTTTCCTCAGTGTCTACTACCAACTTAAAAAGTCAAAATTACAGCAGGCAGAAAGTGAAACTTATATGATTTCCTAGGTTTGCACAGCTGACTAACCAAACAGTGCTCCGAGCTCAATTACTAAAAACCCAGTCAACAGCACACCAGCCACTGAGCCTGTCCATCAAGTGGCAACATATCTCTGGAGCTGATAACAAATGGCCCCATCTCCCACGAAGGCTGTGCTTCCACAGTGTTCTACAAACAGCAGCCAGCCGGTCAATGCTTAACCATTAACTCCAGAAGCCCGAGTCACAGACCCAAATGAAGGGCTGTAAAAATTTGAAATGAACACTGATACTTCTTGGTGGCAGCATATTCAAGGGAAGTCTAACATTTAACATGCCTTATTTCCTAGTTCTCTTCTTTTTTTTAAATTTATTATTATTTTTTACATCTTTATTGGAGTATAATTGCTTTACAATGTGTGTTAGTTTCTGCTGTATAACAAAGTGAATCAGCTATACATATACATATATCCCCATATCCCTTCCCTCTTGCGTCTCCCTCCCACCCTCCCTATCCCACCCCTCTAGGTGGTCACAAAGCACCGAGCTGATCTCCCTGTGCTACAAAACTGCTTCCCACTAGCTATCTATTTTACATTTGGTAGTGTATATATGTCATTGCTACTCTCTCACTTTGTCCCAGCTTACCCTTCCCCGTCCCCATGCCCTCAAGTCTATTCTCTACATCTGTGTCTTTATTCCTGTCCTGCCCCTTGGTTCATCAGAACCACTTTTTTTTTTTTTAGATTCCATATATATGTGTTAGCATACGGTATTTGTTTTTCTCTTTCTGACTTACTTTACTCTGTATGACACACTAGGTCCATCTACTTCACTACAAATAACTCAATTTCGTTTCTTTTTATGGCTGAGTAATATTCCATTGTATATATGTGCCACATCTTCTTTATCCATTCATCTGTCTATGGACACTTAGGTTGCTTCCATGTCCTGGCTATTGTAAATAGAGCTGCAATGAACACTGTGGTACATGTCTCTTTTTGAATTATGGTTTTCTCAGGGTATATGCCCAGTAGTGGGATTGCTGGGTCATATGGTAATTCTATTTTTAGTTTTTAAAGGAACCTCCATACTGCTCTCCCTAGTGGCCGTATCAATTTACATTCCCACCAACAGTGCAAGAGGGTTCCCTTTTCTCCACATCCTCTCTAGCATTTATTGTTTGTAGATTTTTTGATGATGGCCATTCTGACCATTGTGAGGTGATACCTCATTGTAGTTTTGATTGCATTTCTCTAATGATGAGCATCCTTTCATGAGTTTGTTGGCAATCTGTATATCTTCTTTGGAGAAATGTCTATTTAGGTCTTCTGCCCATTCTGTTTCTTTGATATTAAGCTGCATGAGCTGCTTGTATATTTTGGAGATTAATCCTTTGTCAGTTGCTTCATTTGCAAATAGTTTCTCCCATTCTGAGGGTTCTCTTTTCATCTTGTTTATGGTTTCCTTTGTTGTGCAAAAGCTTTTAAGTTTAATTCAGTCCCATTTGTTTATTTTTGTTTTTATTTCCATTTTTCTAGGAGGTGGGTCAAAAAGGATCTTGCTGTGATTTATGTCAAACAGTGTTCTTCCTATGTTTTCCTCTAAGAGTTTTATAGTGTCTGGCCTTACATTTAGGTCTTTAATCCATTTTGAGCTTATTTTTGTGTACGGTGTTAGGAAGTGTTCTAATTTCACTCTTCTACATGTAGCTGTCCAGTTTTCCCAGCACCACTTATTGAAGAGGCTGTCTTTCCTCCATTGTATATTCTTGCCTCCTTTACCAAAGATAAGGTGACCATAGGTGCATGGGTTTATCTCTGGGCTTTCTATCCTGTTCCATTGATCTATATTTCTGTTTTAGTGCTAGTACCATATTTTCTTGATTACTGTAGCTTTGTAGTATAGTCTGAAGTCAGGGAGTCTGATTCCTCCAGCTCCGTTTTTCTTTCTCAAGATTGCTTTGACTATTTGGGGTCTTTTGTGTTTCCATACAAAGTGTGAAATTTTTTGTTCTAGTTCTGTGAAAAATGCCATTGGTAGTTTGATAGGGATTGCATTGAGTCTGTAAATTGCTTTGGGTAGTAGAGTCATTTTCACAATGTTGATTCTTCCAATCCAAGAACATGGTATATCTCTCCATCTGTTTGTATCATCTTTAATTTCTTTCATCAGTGTCTTGTAGTTTTCTGCATACAGGTCTTTTTTCTCCTTAGGTAGGTTTATTCCTAGGTATTTTATTCATTTTGTTGCAATCGCAAATGGGAGTGTTTCCTTAATTTCTCTTTCAGATTTTCCATCATTCTTGTATAGGTATGGAAGAGATTTCTGTGCATTAATTTTGTATCCTGCTACTTTACCAAATTCATTGATTACCTCTAGTAGTTTTCTGGTAGCATCTTTACGATTCTCTATGTATAGTATCATGTCATCTGCAAACAGTAACAGTTTTTCTTCTTCTTTTCCAGTTTGGATTCCTTTTATTTTTTTCTTTTCTGATTGCTGTGGCTAACATTTCCAAAACTATGCTGAATAACAGTGGTGAGAGTGGGCAACCTTGTCTTGTTCCTGATCTTAGAGGAAACGGTTTCAGTTTTTCACCACTGAGAATGATGTTGGCTGTGGGTTTGTCATATATCCTAGTTCTCTTCTAAATGATGATTTAAAAAATTAAGAAAAATACGGTTCTTTTTCCTGAGCCAAAATTATAAGGTTAATTTTATTCTCAAAGGCATTTCTGTGGCATCTAAAAATAGAGAGATTTATGGGAAGGAAGAGCAGATTTGGCAACACCTTTCAATTTCTTAATTTTAGACCTGAGTCTTCAATAAATTATAATTCTCTTTAATGTTGCTTGTTTAACCTTGTTATCTCAGTACCCAAAGGGAATGATATCCTCATCAACAGATCCAGTCTATGCTGTCCAAATTCATTAGTGTTTTAGAGAAATGCCAAAGTAAACACACCCAAGAGCACTGACCCCACACGAATGCAGGTGAGAAGTCAGCTTATCCACCAAACCTCCTTAAATCAGTGGGTTCAAATGCCACTTCTGAAGAAAGCGGGGCGACTGTGTGTGTGTGTGGAGGCCTAGTTTTAAAGACAAGTCTGAACATTGCCTGTGGTTATTTGAAATTAAGTTGGTACCTTTTTTTTTTTTGGAAACTGCTAAAAATTAAAGAGGGAATGACAATATCACTTTTAGAGTGATTTAATAAAAGGAGTCCTATCTAGGTCAACTGTATAGTTAAAGCTGTTTTTATTTAGAAGGAGTCAACTTAAATAGAAATGGACTCAAATTATGGAAACACATTGCTTTTAGGAGGCAGAAGCTTCAGGCTAAAGGTAGAATAAAGCCTAGGAAAAGATAACAGGGTTAAACATATATCCTTCTTAGTTATTTTATCTTTGGCAATCTGGCAGATTTCAGAGACAGGCATCATTCTAGAGTAAGAACAAAAGGCGGGGAAAAGATACTGGAAGATGAAAAAACGTGAGTAGTAATAATGCCTGAAGACCATCGTGAGAACTGTGACTTGGAGGGTACCTAGAAGAGAGTACAGCACGGGGAGGACGATGATGGCTGCTACCATGTATAGGATGCTCGCCCTTTGCCAGCCTCTGTGCTTGTATAAAATTTGCACAAATTTATTCAACCTTCACAACAATAGTGCTTAGTAGTATCCCCATTTCACGGAGGAGAAAACAAGCTTAGGCGTGGTTAACTTGTCTAAGACACACAGTCCAGATGTCTCTGACTTCTTACCGCCACACTGCACGGCCTCTGGGCCTCACTTAGCTAATGAGGTGGCTCGCACACTGGAGCTGCCCCTTCTGCAATGGGGAGCACATGGTGCCATGGGAAAGCACTAGATCAGAGGCCACTAGATCTCAGTCCCCGATGGGGCTCTAACATGCCCACCTGGCCTGAAATGTGGCATGAAACATGTGGGCTGAGCTCCTCACCTGACAGTGCCGCTGAAGAGCACCGGCTCTTGGGGAATGATGGAGAGTTTGCTCCGGAGGTCAGCAAGGCCGATATCACTGATTCTCACTCCGTCGATCTTGATACAGCCTCCAGATAACTCCACCAGACGGAAGAGGGCCATGCCCAGAGAGGACTTCCCTGATGAGTCAGAAGATGGGCAGAAAAGTCATTCAATTAGCAAATTCTGTGAAGACAAAACTGGTTTATTCTCAGGGCAACCTCATCTATTTTTCTATTTCTGTTCAATCATTATTTCAACTGATTAACTCAGGTAATGTATAAAATGATAGCCAGAAACAAAAACCAAAACCAAAACCAATGAACTTTCCTGGGACTTCCCTGGCAGTCCAGTGGTTAAGAATCCACGTTTCCACTGCAGGGGGCACGGGCTTGATCCCTGTTTGGGGAACTAAGATCCCACATGCTGCATGGTGCAGCCAAAAAAAAACCCCCAAAAAACAATTAACTTTCCTGAGCTACCAAGCATATACATTTACATCACACAGCTCCAGCCTAAGAAGGAGTGGGAGGGACCGTTATACTCTCATGAGAGTAAAATGGAGAAACTCCTCCTTTTCACCTTAGGAACAGGTACACAGGGTTAATGCTTCTCAGGCAAAGTGAGAACAGACAGCAAGGAGCTAGTGGCAAGTCAGAGGACAAGCTGTTTTCTCTCTCTTCTGTCCCCTTATCTTAGCTGAGAGAGAAACAAGGCCAGGCCTTGCATCACTGTGGCAGCTGGGAAATGGAAGAAGTTCCCGGCTAAACACACAAGGGAAGGTGGTTTGGGCTTGAGAAAATGAGTGGCTATAGATTCTCTACCACAATAGGAAAATGCGGTAGAAAAGCAGGTTTGGGGGATAAAATAGTGAGTTCAGTATCATAGTGATAAGCAGAACAGCTTTGCTTAATTGACTCTTTTTTTTGGCTACATTGGGTCTTCGTTCCTGTGTGCAGGCTTTCTCTAGTTGCGGCAAGCAGGGGCTACTCTTCGTTGCGGTGCGCGGGCTTCTCATTGTGGTGGCTTCTCTTGTTGTGGAGCATGGGCTCTAGGTGCAAGGGTTTCAGTAGTTGCAGCACGCGGGCTCAGTAGTTGTGGCACTTGGGCCCTAGAGCGGGTGGGCTTCAGTAGTTGTGGCGTGCAGGCTCAGTAGTTGTGGCATGCAGGTTTTAGGGCACATGGGCTTCAGTAGTTGTGGCACGTGGGCTTCAGTAGTTGTGGCGCATGGGATCAGTAGTTGTGGCACGAGGGCCTAGTTGCTCCACAGCATGTGGGATCTTCCTGGACCAGGAATCGAACCCGTGTCCCCCTGCATTGGCAGGTGGATTCTTAACCACTGCGCCACCAGAAAAGTCCCTTAATTGACTCTTCATTTAAAAAATGATACAAGTAATTCAAGCAGATTTAACATCAATCTCCCATAATCTCATTACTGCTTTTTTTTTTTTTTTGGACACATTTACTTTTAGTTTTTTCCTCAGAGTTGAGATCATACCAGAGAAATAATATTGTAACTGCTTTTCCCTCTTAACATTACCTAGCAAGCACTCAATCATATTATTACCTTTTCGAGACAAAGTTTTAGTGGCTGCAACAAATTCCATCATGTGGCTGTACTCTTACTTATTTAATCAGTCCTCTAACATTGCACATGTAGTTTATTTAAAAATTACTATACTAATGCTATGGCAACCTGGTCAGTGCTCAAACTGCTCCTATCTCAGACGATTTCCTTGAAACGGATTCTCAGAACGGAAACTACTTTGTCAAAAAGATATAAATATTTTAAAAGCTCAGTGTTCTACCCCACCAAAAAAAAAGGTTTGACATAGTCCTATCTATCTACCATTCTGCAAGTCAGAATGTAGATAGTTAGATGTAGAACCACAGGTTTTCATCTGTTAGAGCAGTTTTCCCAGTTCTTGACCCTCCTCCCCTCCTCTGGCTCCATGTTCTGAAAGACCTCTCATGGCAGCCTTGTGACTGTCTATTCAGAGGTCAGTGAGGGCACAAATACCTGCCTCACCCCAATGTTTGCAGCCACAGTCCTGCTGTTGAGATTTGACCCCCGTCAGACAACCTGTGGGAACCCAGAACGTCCATCTCCCTAAGGCAGGAGTCCTCAGGTCCATCTACCAGAAACGAGTTGGGAAACCTGAGTCCATGTAGCAGGACAGTTCTTGATGAGGCCTCTCTTCCTGGAACTGGCTTTTTCAGGACTGGAGGATCTGGTTAGGGGCCCCTCCCAGGTAGAAGGGAGGAGGTGGAGGCCCTCCCCAGTGCCGTAGCAGTGGTTCAAGATTTAAGCTGAGGAAGGAATGGCGCTCAATTAAACAGGTTAAGTTGTTCCACTTTAACAAAAGATCTGAGACTAGACTACCTTTGTACTGATGGAACGTGCTGGTAAAAAAGGCAATGAGGTCCTCACAGTGGTTACAACCATGGTAGAGAGCCAGGGCCTATGACATAGTCTCAGAAGAAGCTTATTAGGATTACAGTTTAGACTTTGTAAGTCGGGCTATTTATAATTATTTTATTTCTGTTTATGTCTCATCTGTCACTACTCATGGTTTAATAAAGTCCTGGTGAAAATTTCGGTCTGTCTTACCTGTGTTAAAGGGAAATCACAGGAAGGGAGGTCAGTCAGAACTTTCAGGGGAGCAGTGCACCCCTGGGGGCCAATGTAGCAGAGGGAATTCGAGGGAGAAAGCAAAGTAAGAGCCGTGGGGACATTCACCCTCCTTGGCTGGGTATTCTCTTTCCAATGCACAAGCCTAGAGGCAGTACCTTGTTTTGACATGCAATAAATCCTTCAAAGAGGAAGCAGCTTTTTCTTTTCTGCTTAGCAGGTTCTTTAAAGTAAATTGTCTCAAAAAGACTTTTTTTTAATGGCAAGAAAAAAAAAGCTAAAAGAGTTTTGATGCCAAGGAAGCATGGAACTCAGAAAGCTAATGAGAAGTGACTCAGAGAGACCTCTTACACAAGGGTAAACAGGTTAATGAAAGAAGACGAGACTCAATCTTGAAATGTTATTCAGGAAGGAAAGAGGGAAAGAAACACATTATTCAAGTCTTGACTCTAGAAATCTAAGGGGCATATAGTAACACATTTCTAAGAACAAGAGTGAAATTAAATGCCTAAAATGAAGGCCTAGTCTCTATTTGCAACTGATGTCAGATCAAGAAAATAATTTGTCTTCAAAGGAACATAGGTTCCTCACTTAGAATGATGCTGGCTTCTGATAAATATGAGGCTATACAGGTAACACATCACAAAGACCTTAAATTTTTTGTATATTTTGACTTCACAGAAATAAGGATGTTCACTGCAGTGCTATTCATAATAGTGAAAAATTGACAACAACCTCAATGCCCTTCAATTGGAGCAGGGTTAATATAAATGATAGTACATCCATAAAATAGAATTTTATATAATGCTGCATAGAAATCATGTCATAGAATATTAACTGACATGGAAAATGTTCGGTAATTTTAAAAGCAGGCCATGAAACAGTGTGTATAAAAGGACCTCATTTTTGTAAACACATTTGTTGATAGAAAAAGCCTAACAAGATATCCACCAAAATGTCAGCAGTAATTATCTCTGGGTAATGGAGCTATGGGCGCCTTTCCCCTTTTGTACTTTGCTATATGTTCCAAGTGTTCTGCATTGAGAATGTATACTTCTATGATTAGAGAAAGCATTAAATGTTATGAAAGCAGCGTTGAAAATAAGCCTAGAAAAGTGGTTTCAGAGACCGAGACACTAACTGCTCATCTAACAGGAATCTGATATGAAGGGATGAGATTGGTATTCAATAAACAGGAAATCATGGGCCCCAGACTTGATTCTGGTAGGTTCAAATGTTTCTCCAGAGAGGACATCCTTACCCGATCCTGTCCGTCCCACGATGCCAATCTTCTCCTTAGGTTTGATGGTGAAGGACACTTTCTTCAAGACCAGGGGGAGATTTTCTTGGTACCTCATCTCTGCATTCTCAAAGGTGACCTCTCCTTCCTGTGGCCAGTCAGAGGAGGGAGACTTGTTCTTAATTCTGGCAGGTGCTTCCAAGGAAAGAGTCTGGGGAGACAGAAGTGGCTGGTTTAGACTGACTATAGATTCCGGGGGAGCTGCAAGGCCTTGTCACAGAGAAGTAGAACCAGGACACCCAAAGCAACCACACAGAGAAAGCTGCCGCTCTGTTCCCTTGCTGAGAAAGAGACCCCTGGCAGTGAATGCTCATCACCAGTAAACTAGACAGAGACAAAGTACAGTGGTCTCTACACTTAGCAGTTTACAACGGCTACTAAGCAGCAGCTCGGGAAGGGCAGTGGCTTTCAAACTGCCTTCTGCCATAAGGAATTCTTCCCCAAAACCTCCTTGGAGGGACTCCCCTGGTGGTGCAGTGGTTAAGAATCCACCTGCCAATGCAGGGGACACGGGTTCGAGCCCTGGTCTGGGAAGATCCTACATGCCGTGGAGCAACTAAGCCCGTGCACCACAACTACTGAGCCCGTGCACCACAACTACTGAAGCCCGACTGCCTAGAGCCCGTGCTCCGCAATAAGAGAAGCCACCGCAATGAGAAGCCCGCGCACGGCAACGAAGAGGAGCCCCCGCTCGACTCAACTAGAGAAAGCCGCACAGCAACAAAGACCCAATGCAGCCAAAAAAACCAAAAAACCAAAAAACACTTCCTTGGAGACCAATGTGAGGCATGAAGCCTTCCATCCCTCTTCAAGCACAGCAGTTTTTATTGGAATTTTTTGAAAATATTCCTCTTGAAACAGGGTTCCATCATTTGAAAACCACTGGGCTGAACCCAAAGGAGGGAAAGTACATTTATGGAACATTAATGAGACCCTGGCATCCTGCCTTCTCAGTCAGTCCAGGAGAGACAGACTCTACTCCAAACTCCACCACTAATAGCTGTGTGACTCAGACATATCACTTCTTCACTCTTCGTCTTAGTTTCTCATCTGCAAATTGTGGGGAATAGATTAGATGATTTTGGAAATCCATTCTAGCTTTAAAATGCTGTGTTTAATACAACCATTGGATAATTTTTGTCATCAACAGTCACACTTCACGATGCTTTAAAACTCTCTGGTGACTAGTCATGGAGCTTATAGCCTCATAGGGAAGCAATGGCCAAAGACTGCAGTGTTCTGGCAGGCGGGGGTGGAGACTGAAGTCTAAAACTCCGTGTTGGGACAGGCATCCAGGTTGGGGACTGGCAGTGGGGATCCAGTCCTCAGGAATATGACTGGTTTGTGCAGAGTATACTCTGTACCACGGCTGACCATCACCCTGACCTTTCCAGCAAGAGACTCACACCAATAGTGATATTAAATCAATAGTGATATTAAATCAAACACTACACACCCACATGTACACCCACAAATTGTCCACAGACCAGAGCACTGGGCCAAGAGACTCATGTATAAACATGAAGAATAGCCTTTAGCAGATTTATCAGATAGCCATCCGCCATTCTTTCTGATAACAATCATTTATGAGTTTAAGAAATATCCTACGACTGATGAGGTTCATTGACAAAATAAATCAGCAGGGCATGTCTCTACTAGAAAATGCAGTTTACATAATATACTTGTTCTCAGTGAAAGGCTAGTTTTTTAAAACTATGTTTGTAAGTCAACGTTCTAGTTGGAACTTGGAATGTATTCATTATCTGTAAATAACGATATAAATGCTAATAAAGTCTCTGGGCTGTTCACAAAATAGGTAACTCCTGAGAAATAGATTAAATTGAGAATCCTAACTACTCAGGACTCTGCTTCTCTCTACAGACAACTGTTTTCGAGTTCCAACTATGACACCAGCAAGACACTGCCCCATGGCAGGGCTGCAAGGGTTACTGGGGAAAGGTGGGAAGAGCTAGATCATCTCAGTACCAACTCATTAACTGGTTTCTGAACTGTGAATGCAGTTTAGAATTAGCTACGGAGCTTTTAAAACGTCAGAAGTCTGGGTCCTATCCCAGACCTATTGCATCAGAATCTTCAGAGATGAGGCCCGTGTTAGTCTTTGCCTCAAGCTCCATATGGGATTCTGATGGCCTTCCCTGGTTAAGAACAAGTAAACTAGACTAAGACTTGAAATAATACATGGTTTTAAATAGTGTAAGGAAAATGTTACATTAGTCAGCTTAACTGAATTAATGAGATTAGTAATACTTTGGGGACTGCCCTGGTGGTCCAGTGGGTAAGACTCCATGCTCCCAATGCAGGGGGCCCGGGGTTTGATCCCTGGTCAGGGAACTAGATCCCACATGCACGCCGCAACTAAGAAGTCCGCATGCCACAACTAAGAAGGCTGCACACCGCAACTAAGACCCGGTGCAGCCAAAATAAATAAATAAATAAATAAAAGGAATGCTTTGGAAATTAGCTGATGAACATAGGTTCTCAATCAGGCACAATTCACAAATATATTTAGATAATCTTAAGATATTCTCTTCTCCACTCCACACATGCTGGAGAGACCGCTGCCTCTCCTGTGGGACAAGATAAGGCAGAGAAAACAAGCATCCTCCTGGGACATTCACTCGAGGCTGTAAAAGGGTAAAACTGCTCCATGAAAAGTCAGATTGTAGCAAAAGGCCTGTAGCAGCCTGACCTTGATGTAGTGGTTGATCCTCTCAACTGAGGTGAAGCGAGCTTCTGTCTCAGATGCCAGTCTGACAGTAAACTGGAACAGTCCTGTTAACTGACAACGGAAAACAAGAATCCAAGAGAGAATTTACTATTAATACACACCAGGCCAACGCCAGAAAACCTCCTTCATCTAAGGGATCACAACTCAAGTTACAAGAACTAACTGGGCACATGCAGCAGCTGATTTTAGGGACCGAATCATTCTCTAAATATTTAAGACAATGCCTAATAGCACCCAATCAACTGCAATTCTCAGTGAATGCAGGTGGCGTTCTGGTACTGCTGGCACTAACTTTCCTGTATCTGAGGGCTTTCCGCCCGTCTTTACATTTCCAGTAATTCAACTGTAGCTGAATAACTGCTGTGCTTCATACTTGCATCTACACCTGATGTAGTAGTCACAACAAATGGAGATTATATCAAGCTCTGCGCAGCAGTGAGAATGCTTCCAGCAAGGTCAAATAAGAGAAATGAGGCTGGGCCAAAACCGAATGCAGAGCCCCTGTGTGCCTCAGACTGAGGACTCTGAAACACAGTATATATAAAACACAGATTCTCCCCCCACCTCTAATAATCAAGGAAGTCTGCATAACATGGACAAATATCTTTGGGTATCTGTGAAGATACGTATCTCTTCTTAGGTTTCTTCTGGCTACTTATTTTTATCTTTCCAATATAGAAAAATGTCAAACATATACAAGAATAGAGAGGAGAGTATAATGAGCTCCCATGTATCAAACATCCAACTTAAAAAATTATCAACTTACAGCCAATATTGTTTCATCTATACCACCCCATCCTTCCGTATTATCTGGAATCAAATCCCATATAGGCTATCATTTCACCCATAAATATTTCAGCTTATATCTCTCTAAAATATAAAGACTCCTTAAAAACAACCATTGTCACATCTTAAAAAGTTAGTAACAATTCTTTAACATCTTCAAATATCTAGTCAGTGCTCAAGTTCCCAATTGTTCTTTGATCTATTTGAAGACCTTCAACCATTCCTAGGAGCCAGAAGGGTTTACATATGTAACAGTATTGGGAAAATCAGGGGCCTGAAAATAAAACACACAGAAGAAGTGTATTGATATATATTTCTTAGAAGACTAGGAAGAGGCCAGAGATGAAAGGGTAGTGAAGACAGAAACCTACAATTAAGAAACCATTTTCAAAATCATATTTATTTAAGAAAAAAATAGCACCTATTTCATAGACAAATGCAACAGAGTTAAATCCCTTTATTCCTATACAGTCAACCTTCAGTATCCATGAGGGATTGGTTCCAGGACTCCCGCCAATAAAAAAAATCCACGGACACTCAAGTCCCTTATATAAAATGGCATAGTATCTGCACATAAACTATACACATCCTCCTGTATCCTTTAAGTCATCTCTAGATTACTTATTATACCTAATACAATGTAAATACTATGTAAATAGTTATAAATACAATGTAGAAAATAGTTGGGCAAAAATAAATAGTTGCCCACCTACAGTAAATTCAGTTTTGCTTTATGGAACTTTCCAGAAATTTCTCCCCCCAAATACTTTTGATCTGCAATTAGTTGAATCTATGGATGTGGAACAGGTGGATGTGGAGGGCTGACTGTATACCAGTCCAGAGTGTTACTGCCAAAGCAGACGGGGAAAAGCTCTAGGAGTCGGAAGTAAAACAATGGCTTAGGGTAGAGCCCCCTACCAGCTCTCTCCTAGGCCAACATACGAGCAAGAGGACGCCCCCATCCCAGAGACTAACCTGGACAGCATAGGAGATGGCAAGCCCCGCGTAGGCCGGGGGAATCTGCCCATGCATGAGAACAATCATCAGCCCGGTGGTGGTGATCAGGGCAATGCTGATCAGGTCTAGCCGCACTGCCAGCCACCGCATCGCACACGTGAACAAGAAGAAGGGTCTCTGGTTGTTATCCAGTAGCTCCTGGTACCTGTGAGGAAGACAGAACACCTAATAGGCAAATAAAGTACCACACAACCCTGGACATGGAGGATGCCAAAGCTCTGGTGAGTGCTGGGTGGAGGGCTAATACTGAAGTACTACTGTTTGTAACCAGGAGTGTGAGATGGAAACTTAAGGAGTGCAGAGTATTCCAGGCTCCACAGACAGGAGGACACGAGGGTTTTCTAGTTTTACCCTTTCAAAGAAACGTGTTAAAGATGCTAGGGAAAGATATCTACTTCTAAAGCATAGGGAAAGCAGGAGGGAAGGAGACCAAATAAAGAGACTGCTTAAGCTTTAGAAAAATGTTTTAGGTCAGGGGTCATTTCCTCAAAGAAAGAGAGGTTACAAAGGTAAACTGCAGAAATGGCACAAGACCAGAAAAAAAGAAAACCTTGGACCGAAAGTGGAAATTGCCTGCTGACACACTTGTTTCCCAAGGCCATGGAGCAAAGAACCAGGAGCAGTGATTTAAACCAGAGCAAAAAGACCTAGACAATCTTTGTCACTGCAGGAGAACACACCACTGTCACCGGGGGGCTTAGAGAGTAGATCACGCCCCACCTGAAAGTCTGGCACCTACAAACAATTAGAACTCCAGAGTGGGAGATCTGGGTGGGCAAATGTGCTTTGCTTTAAAAAAAATCACTACCCTCCTTACAATAAGATATGTGCACTTTAGAGAAAATTAAGAAAATGCAATAAAAGAGGAAAATGTAAAATTCCAGTACTCTCACCACTCAGCTAAAACCAGAGTTAATATTCTGCTGCATTTACTCCCAGCAATTTTTTCAATGCACTCACACTTCTGTGGGTATGTACATACACACGTACACAGTCAGCATATTTCACTTTTTTCACTTAAAGTTAGGATGCATTTTTCTGAATTGTTTAACTAAACCTTCCTATTTTAGAGTTCCTTTTTAACATTAATTACTTAATTTTTGGAATGAATAATATACTCTACAGGACAGAATATTCACAAGGTACAAAAGGTTTTATCCTGAAAAGTTGGTCTTTCTCCTGCCCTCCTCCAACTACTCAGTTCCCCTTTCCAGTGGCAACTATTAGTTTCTTATGTGTCCTTTCAGAGATATTCTAAATGTTACAGATACAGACACATCATTAAAAGGAGCACACAATACCCACCCATCTGTACCTTGCTCTTTCACTAATATACCTTGGAGATCATTCATTATCAGTACCTAGAGAGCAGTCTCATTCTTTTTAGGGGCCATATCATAGTCCACCACATGGGGACAACACAGCTTATTTAACCAGTCCTCTACTGAATGACCTTTAGTCTAATTCAATCTCTTGTTAACACAAATCTCCACAATGACTATATATGTACATAAATTTCTCATACAAACAATATTCAACAGCTAAATAAAATGTCAGTCTAATGTCAATGAATGTCTTTTACTGTTCAGAAGATAAAAAAGTAAAAAGAAAAAATAATAATAATAAAAAGCAAAACTCCGGGACTTCCCTGGTGAGGTGGTTAACAATCCACCTGTCAATGCAGGGGGCACGGATTCGAGCCCTGGTCTGGGAAGATCCCACATGATGCAGACCAACTAAGCCCGTGTGCCACAACTAATGAGCCCGTGCCCTAGAGCCCGCGAGCCACAACTACTGATCCTGTGCCCTAGAGCCCACGAGCCACAACTACTGAGCCTGCATGCCACAACTACTGAAGCCCATGATCCTAGAGCCTGTGCTCTGCAACAAGAGAATCCACCGCAACAAGAGAATCCACCACAACAAGAGAAGCCACCGCGGACCTCCCTGGTGACGCAGTGGTTAAGAATCCACCTGCTAATGCAGGGGACATGGGTTCGAGCCCTGGTCTGGGAAGATCCCACATGCCACAGAGCAACTAAGCCCCTGCGCCACAACTGCTGAGCCTGCGCTCTAGAGCCTGTGAGCCACAACTACTGAAGCCTGCAAGCCACAACTACTGAAGCCCACATGCCACAACTACTGAAGCCCGCGTGCCTAGAGCCCGTGCTCTGCAACAATAGAAGCCACCACAATGAGAAGTCTGTGCACTGCAACAAAGAGTAGCCCCCGCTCACTGCACCTAGAGAAAGCCTGCACACAGCAACAAAGACCCAGCACAGCCAAAAATAAAATAAATAAAATAAATAAATTTATAAAATAAAAATTAAAAAAATAAAAGTAACCATTCCAAAAACAAAACAAAACAAAAGAAAAAAACAAGAGAAGCCACTGCTATGAGAAGCATGTGCACCGCAACAAAGAGTAACCCCCGCTCTCCACAACTAGAGAAAGCCCACGCGCAGCAGAGAAGAACCAATGCAGCCAAAAATAAATAAATAAAATAAATTAATTTAAAAAAAAGCAAAACTCCATCAAATATAGCCATTCAGAACTGAAAGCTAACAGACTCCAAATCTGTGTTTTTGTCTTTCCATTTGCTCAGAAGGGAGTTCCACCAAGCAAGTGAATCTTAACCAGAGATCATTAAATTACTAATACTCTTAGTAATGAGCTTTATAATCCAGAATTCTGACCTTGAAAGGCTTCTTAAACTCTCATTAAATGCTGAGATGCTGGCTCCCCATTGAGCCCTCGGGCCCCCATTGAACTAACCTGTGCAGAAATTCCTGCCCTTTGTTGTAGGCATGGATGGTGGCAAGGCCCTGTATGCTGGATGTGATGTGGGAGAGGAAAGGTGACTGCGTGATATTGTCCAGACGCTTCAGCTCTCGGATCAGAACCCTGGAGAGAGAATGTGTTCTGTGTCAGAGGGGTAGACTAGCAACTCTGGCTTCATCCTTTGCCCTGGAAGACATGAAGACTTCCTGTTTACCTGGAGACAATGTGCAGAATTGAAAAGAGGATGATGAGGGGCCCCACTGCCACAAGGAACCATGGGAAAACTCCCGCGATCATTCCAACACAGAAGAACACAAGGATGACGTTCTGGATGAACATCTCAGCCTGGAACGGCAGGCGCACATCGACTGGGGAAACCGTAAAGGAACACGTGTCAGATGCTGGGATCCACAAACCGGGAAAATGGAATTTTAAATTTCTCCCAATTTTTAAAAAACAAAAAGAGGCTCCCTAAAATCCCTATCTGAAAGTTATGATTTTTGCCTTTTAAACAGTCTGATCAAAGAAAAATCTGGAAACCTGGTTGCTCTAATTTTTCTTATCCCAAGAGCATTTAAGTGACCTTTCTCCCCTGTGCCTTCTTTTTGGTTCACTATGCTGCCCAACCCCTTTAAACATTTCTTCCACTTTGCAAAGTAATATATGCTTGTTGTAAAATATTTGGAAAATAAATATGCAAAAAACTTAAATAAACATAGTCTTTATTCTTACCAATATCAATGAACTGCCGCTAACATTTAAGAAATTTTTCATCATGGAAAATTTTAAACATACACAAAAGTTGAAAGAGTATAGAACCTCCAACAGTTATCAACATTTTCTTCACCGTTTTTTGAACATCTCCTCCCCCCGCCTATTTTCATGCATATCTGAGACATGTTGATACCACTGATTTTTTTTTCAATCTTTTTTCCATTTGTCTGTGTGTTTAACAGAAATGGGATCATGTCATGCACATGTGTAGCACTGTTCTGTGTATCAGTGATGGTTTTGATCCCTTGTGACCTCTGGCCATGGCTTTACACTGGCCTATCAACATCGGAAACAAACTCCTTCTATGGAGGCAACACAGTACAGTAGATAAAAACATTAGCTCTGGGGTCAAAAAGATCTGGGCTCAATTCCCAGCTTGTTATTTAATAGCTGTGTGATCTTCAGCAAGTTATTTAACCTTTCTAGGCATCAGCTTTTCCGTGTATTCAGTGGATGAAACGATATCCACACCTCATAGGGCTGCTGTGAGGATTAGGATAACGCATGTAGAATATTCAGTACACAGTAAGCCCTCAATAAATGTCAGGCAGCATCACTATCATTATGGGCTACGGGAGTATAGTTGACCCTTGAACAACGTAGGGGTTAGGGACACAGACCCTCTGTACAGTCAAAGGTCCACATAGAACTTACAGTCAGCCCTCCATCTATGTGGTTCCTCATCCGTATTTCCATATCTGCGGATTCAGCCAACCTGTCGTTCAAGGGTCAACTGTATTTAAGTTCTGGTGCTGGCACAGCCCATGAGGCATCCAGCATCCAGCAAACCTGTCAGAGGTTATAGGTGTCCAGGAACCTATGCACTACCCACAAGTAAATATGTGTTTTGGACTCTGAGATGCCCCTGTCCAAAGCCTCTATGCTAACTCAGTGCTCTGAACTGGTTTTCAGTTTAAATAAGATCAAATAAGAACTCAGACAAAAGGTGAAAAAGCAGATAGGTCCTTAGCCTAAAGAGTTTGCAATGTGGAGAAAATGCCAAAACTAAAATGTTCCTGACGCAAACATCGACAGCCACCGTGCTCCAGAGCACAACAGAGAGGAGCAGTGAGAAATACCTTCATCCATGTCTTTGGAAAACCTGTTGAGAATCCTCCCAGTGGGGGTAGTGTCAAAAAACTTCATAGGGCTTCGAAGGATCCTTCGGAAAAGCTCGTCGTGGAGCCGGGAGGAGGCTCGCAATGTGCCCTGAGGGGCAGAGCACAGCGTGATCAGAGATCCGGGACTCAGGCAGGCTCAGCTCCCACTCCACAGGGTCGCAACTCCACAGGACATCGATGCCCAAAGCCGGAGAAGGGCGAATGGTCGTGGAGGAGGGAGGTGGCTAATAGGAAAAAGCTGAGGCTCATGGGATGCAGGTCACTTCGGAGAGGGCCATCCTGCTTTAAAGGAGCTCCCCAACTCAGAGTACACCTGAGGGATGCCAGGCGGAATCCTAACCACACAGCCTCTGGGGAGAGGAGGAGCAGAGGCCCCCACCGGTGCATACCTTGACAAAGACCACTCCGCGAATGGCTTTCAGGATCAGCATGACTGCCATGGAGAGGGCGTAGATGCTGGCATAGTACTGCATGAGAGGATTGTCCTTCATGCTGCTGCTCACAGATGTCCTGTTTTCCTGAGCCACCGTGGTGTTCTGTTTGGAGGCAAGGGTCTGTGAGGCAAGACTCCCAGGGACTGCCAAGAACCCCGCATCAGGGCCATTCTTGGCTCAAGGGAGGGTACAGGATAAAAACTCTGGGACCTGGTTGAGGCAGACACAAGGCAGACTTTGCCCTGCTCCCTCTCTCTTTTCTTTCTTTTTTTTTTTTTTTTCGGTACACGGGCCTCTCACTGTTGTGGCCTCTCCCGTTGCAGAGCACAGGCTCTGGACGCGCAGGCTCAGCAGCCATGGCTCACGGGCCCAGCCGCTCCACGGCATGTGGGATCTTCCCGGACCGGGGCACGAACCCGTGTCCCCTGCATCGGCAGGCGGACTCTCAACCACTGCGCCACCAGGGAAGCCCCCTCTCTCTTTTCTAAGGACAAGAGCAGGCAGCCTACAGTTTGCTACTGATAAGCTCTATTGCTCCGTGAGTTGGTCAGGGAGCAATTATCTGCTGAGGTTACATTAGAGACTCATCAAGATCTTATCCTGGGTAATCCTTGTTCATTGCTTCTTTTAACTGAAAACTAGAACAGTTTCCCTAAGGAGAGACAGGGACTATGGAGAGATGGCCACTTTATGAGACGTATAATTTTCCCATTAATGAGGAACCTTACCCCACTTCCTTGCTTGATCCAGTAACTCAACCACCAGTTGCTAAAGGCGGTACTGCCCACGTTCAGCATGAAAAGGGACAGAATGACCAGGAATGCCAAGGGGCCCCCAGCAGCCTGGATGTAGACACCATATACTGACCAGGGCACGGAACCCTGCCCCTTCTCTTCCATTTGCACAAGCTGCCCTAGGTAAGGAAAAGAGAAACGTGAACTCAGAAAGGAAAGGCTGCTTTTCAAAACTAAGTCACCTGTAGAACAACAGAATCAAAGGGAGCCTACAGTTTCACAGAGCTCTAGATGAGAATTATTTCCCCTTCATCAGGAGCATTTATTTATCCATGTAACATTTACTAAGCACCAACTATGAACCAGGCCCAGGATGAGGTCCTGGAGCGGTAACGAAGATTAAGACCAGGTCCCTGCCCTGGAGATCTGGCTCAGATCATCCTTCCACAGTCTAGTAGGACAAACAGGTAAATAAATACATAATTATAATAACATGTGCGAACTCCAACGCTAGAGCTATTTGCAGGGCAGCATGGGAACATCCAGGAAATGCACATAACCTACTTGTGGGAGCTGTGAGGGGCTTAGCAGGGCGTTTTCCCGGAAGACTTTCTATGCAGTCCATATTGCATTATTTATTTATTTTTTTGGCCGCGCCACGTGGCTTGTGCGATCTTAGTTCCCTGACCAAGAATTGAACCCAGGGCCTCAGCAGTGGACGCGTCAGGGAATTCCCCACACCATGTCTTGAAAGGTAAGCCAGAGTCGGCCAGATGGGGAAATGATGGGCACAGGTGTGGGGAAACAGCAAATCGGTATACACAGATATCCAATTCAGCGTGGCTGGAACATTCTGTGTGCCTAAGGAGTGGCAGGAGATAAGGCTGATTAAGGAGGCTCTGGTCAGGGGATAAAGGCATTTGAACTTTATCCTTCAGACAAGAACTCCTCAAGAGAATGGGCTACAGGGGTGTAGAGATTTGACTCCCCGGCCCTGCTGTGCACTAGATGGGCCTGGGATGGCCAGACCAGCCACCTCAGGCAGCCTCTACCATGCATCCCAGGGGCTCAAAGAAACAGTGGCGTTTTTCTGTGTGTGCCAAATCAAGAAAAAGATTAGAAAAGGCGGCTTTGACGTTGGGAGGCCACTGGAAGGCCTCAAGCAGGAAAGGGAGTTGGCTGGTTTTTAACTAGATCTCTCTGCTGTTCGTGTGGAGGACAGATTTAAAAGGAGGCAGCTGTAACAGTCTGGGTAGATGATAAAGGCCAGAACCAGGGTCATGGCAATGGGGACGGAGTTTCAGGAGGTAAATTCAGTAGGACGGCGTGACTGACTGTGGGAGGAGAGAAAAGATTCCAGGATATTTCCTAGGGGCTCCGTGGGCTGGTCAGGTGATTGATGCTGACAGGAGAATACAGAGAAACATCCCCACAGGAAGCAGCCTCTCCCCTTTATCATATATGATGTGTAATTACCTTGGAACAAGCAACACATGCCTTGAGCACTTTGCGATGTGAGTCTCCAGGTTAGTGGCTATGTAAATAAGGATAAATGTCCCCTAAAGACATTCTGTTTTTTTTAGACTGTCTATGGCAGGAACTGACAGATGTCTCAGGCTTCTGTGCTGTGTTTGCTTTGTGTGTGTGAGAGTAAGGCATCTCAATTCACACCGGAATTCAAAAGCTCACATGTGGCTAATTGAAAGAAAGACAAGAGGCAGGGAGTGGTAAATCAGGATGGTCACCTCCTAACGCCAAATGCTTTAAGAACGAGGAAATGAAAAAAGCAGTGGCAAACCCAGGAAAGGTCCTGGATTCAACACGTCAGGTGAGGAGGTGACACAACAGAAAGAACTTTAAAACAGGACTGCATTTTTATTTATTATTATTCTTATGCTTTGCAAACTGATATGCAGCTTCAAGTTCACAAAAGTGAAAATGCCTAAGGTATTGCATATAGCTTTTCTAACTCCCAAGATTTGTTTCAGTTGATAAGATAAAGGGTTTAAAAAACAGGACCAAGTACTCTGGATAGGAAAAGCAAGTAGGAAAAACCTTGGCTGTAACTCTTCACCACAGCCCTGCTGCAGTCTGCTTGGGACAAGCAGAGGAGTGTATCATTGTAACAGGGGAGGTTCTGAGGATGTAGGCATTCTTAAAGCTGGCATGCCTCTGCATTGGTTGGCATGACTTTTAAAGAGCAGAGATGAACCCACGATTCAATTTTTGCTTAGTCAAGATGACTCAGCTATGACTACCTACACCTCACCCCACCCTGCATAGGAAAAGAGGGCATAGGATTAAAGGACATTCTTGTTGCCTTGCTCGGCTTAAGAAAACACCAAGTGCCTCATGGTCTCCCAACAATCATACAAAAATCTGGTATTCTAGAAATATAAGGCCAGGCGCTCTACAACACACAATGCTATTAAACAGCATGAATTACCACATGGCGTAATTTCTGATAAACTTTTATTTATTTATTTTTTTTTTTGCGGTACGCGGGCCTCTCACTGTTGTGGCCTCTCCCGTTGCGGAGCACAGGCTCCGGACGCGCAGGCTCAGCGGCCATGGCTCACGGGCCTAGCCGCTCCACGGCATGTGGGATCTTCCCGCACCAGGGCACGAACCCGCGTCCCCTGCATCGGCAGGCGTACTCTCAACCACTGCGCCACCAGGGAAGCCCCTGGTAAACTTTAATGACACACTTTCCACCATCTTTCTGTGCTGCCAAAATGGTGCTCATGAACGTCCTGGCTGGCTGATACTCTCAAGAGCATCATCAATGTGAAAAAGAGAGGCAAACGTCAGGTTCTTATCAGGCCATGCTCCAAAGTCATCATCTGGTTTCTAACTGTGATTGTGAAACATGGTTATATTGGCAAATTTAACTGATGATCACAGGGCTGGGAAAACTGCCGTGAACTTAAACAAGTGTGGAGAGATCAGCCCTAGATTTGTTTTGTTTTGTTTTGTTTTTGCTGTACGTGGGCCTCTCACTGTTGCGGCCTCTCCCGCTGCAGAGCACAGGCTCCGGATGCGCAGGCTCTGCGGCATGTGGAATCTTCCCGGACCGGGGCACGAACCCATGTCCCCTGCATCGGCAGGCGGACTCTCAACCACTGCGCCACCAGGGAAGCCCCAGCCCTAGATTTGATGGGCAACACAAGATGTAGAAAAATGGCAGGTCCCATCCTGTCAGTTTGGTTTCATTGTACTGACAACCTCATCTAGCATCATGGACCATGAAAAAGCAAGTGTGTGAAAACACACTGGAGGGAAAACCATGGGATCCTTTTTCTAGGGATGTAATACGTATGTGCAAATAAAATGCTTCAGTGGAAAATAAAAACCAAAACAAACTTTAATGACAAATCTCAAAAAAGTTCATTACCTTCCTCTGGCTTCACTGCTTTCTCCTTCTTTACTGACCCTGTTTTAGGACACTTGTCTTGTGTTTTCTTCTGTGAACCACTGGTTTCCTTTTTAGAATTAATCTTAAAAAAAAAAAAAAAGTGTCTCCGTCATCATGATATGGCCATTCAGACAAATGTCCAAAGGACACGTTAGCGAATCATCCATCGAGCTGCTGCTCTTATTGAAAAGGGACACATCCAGCTTCTTAAAAGTTAACTTCTGTAACCTCCCCAACTCCTTAAATCTTTAAGCTGGGTTCCTACTATTCCACTGACACTGCTCTCCCCAAAGTAACTAAAGACCTAAACTCCGAACACAGTAGCCTTTATGCTGTTCTCATCCATTCCAACTTGTCCAGAGTATGTGAGCTGGGGTCACTTCCATTCTGTCCATCTCTGATCCCCACATCACTAAATCAAATCACAGATCTACCATGGGATAAACTTCCGCTTCTCAGCCTGCTTTTGCAGCACCTCCACATTCTGGCCCTAGCCTGTCCGTGCCTCACATCACACTGCCATTTCCCACTTCTAGACTTTTATCCACCTGGTTCTTCACTTGGGATGTTCCTCTCCTCACCCAACTCAATCACAGTTGTCCCCATTCAGATGGATTCAAATCTTAATTCTCCCTGAGGCAACTTAACACTCCTCTAGAATAGAGTTCACCCTCCCCTGTTCTCCCAGGCACTTGTTAGTACTTTCACAGCATGTTGCTACATATGTGACCTGGTGTTGTTACATATGTACATATGTTGTTACATATGTACGAGCATAAGAGTATTGGTCTTCCCTAGAAGACTGCGAGTCCCTCAAGGACAGAGATGACATCTCACTCATGGTTATAACCTACACAGGGCCCAGCACCCAGAACTGCCCATAATGGGGCACGCTGGGACTTACGAAACATTCATCAAATTGAACCTGAGATAATAGAAACTACTTAATGTTCTCCTTTCCAAGTTCCTCTTATATCTTTATACAGGAAATTCTCTATACATAGTTTATTACATTTAATTCTATGTCACTGTCAGCCTCATGACCCCAGTTTGCTCTCCAACTAGATTTTTAAAATTGACAGTGAAAAAAAATCAGAAAATAATATAAAATTTAGAGCCACATCTGGAACATAAGATAGGACTCTAAATTTTATATTTACCATGGTGCATGAATAAATGCACTCTCTAAAGAGAAAATTACTATTTGTTGACCACTGACTGGGATAAGAACATTACATATTATTTCAAATGCACCAACTCAAAGAGGCAGGTGCCACCCCCATTTTTAAGATGAGGAAACTGAGGCTCAGGAAAGTGAAGTGATATACTGAAAGCACGCTCCTTCACTCAACATGCTCCCTCTCGATATTCCTTTGCTCCTTGGACATTTCATGTTTTAGCTTCTCTCCCTCTCATTTTCCCCTCCATGTGTACAGTGAGGAGGAAATGATCTGAAGAGCCCAAAGCACCGTGAGAGTCACAGGGAGAGATCATAAAATCCAAATCTGGATCAGGTGTCTCTATAGCAGTTACTGATGACACTCGCAATGTCAGAGTTATATCAAAAGGCCAAAAATACATCATGAACAATGAGTTGTACTGAACCTGAAATCAAACAGGATGATACCCAAACACTGAAATAAGAGTCCCAGAAAAGGTCCCAATAACTTTTTGCTTTCATCCTACTCAACATCAAAATGACCTAGTAGCTAAGAAGCGGCTTTTAGCCCAGCCTGAGTGAACTCCTAGGACCCAAGGCGACCAGAGGATAAAAAGGTCAATATGAGAGCCAGCTCTACGCACGCCCTGGTCTTTGCCTAACTCAGAGCCCAGAACGGGCGGCCAGCTTTCCGTGTTGCTGCAGGAGGCCCGGCAGCGCAGCACTTTGGAGTCAAACTGACCTTTCCAGCAGGCTGTTTAACCCTTCTGAGCCCCCGTTTCCTCAGCTGTACAGTGGAGGTTAATCGTATCTGGCCGCAGAGCTCTGTTAAAATGGCTGAACAGGATGACAGCTATAAAGTGCCTAATCCAGGAATTGGGACACAGCCGGTACTAGTTAATGAGTGCCAAGTCGGCAGCCAAGACACCATAGATAATTTTCAAATGTATGCAGTATTTAATGTCTCTTCTCTGCCACCTTATTCATTTGATTATTAAGAAAGGAGCTTCCTAATGTTTCAGTCAGGATTTGATGGAGTTTAGGAAGCTAAGTTATGACTGAACAGCAGCACACACTGAGGCCACGTCCTTCTCCTTGTCATTGCCTTGCTGATAAACTCTCAGTGACAGAAGACCTCGGTTCTCTAACCCCACAACCCTGCCCTCGCAGAATAGAACCAGTATGCGGACTAAAGCACAGCAGTCTGGTCACCAGAGAACAGGGCCCCTGCCAACAAGACACGGACAATGAGTTCAGCTGAGATTTCTCCATCACTCACTACGGTCCTATCTCTCTTGCTGGAAAGACACACACACACACACACACCACGAATCTTACCTCAACTGGGGGTGTCTCTCCCAGCAACAGGTTATTAAAAATGGTAGCATAATCACCATTTAGATTCATCAGTTCCTCGTGGGTGCCTCTTTCTGTAATACAGCCCTCTTTCATGAAGATCACTTCATCACAGTCAGCCAGGTACTGGAGACAAAGACAGGGACAACAGCGTGGCTGATACTTGTGCGAATACATCCAAACGCCTAGACCTTAGTTCAGCGGTTCTCATCTGGAGGTGAACAAGCCCCCCAGAGGATACTTCGTAATATCTGGAGACATTTTTGGTTGTTACGGTTGGGGGGGAGGGGGTACTAAGGCCATCTGGTGGATAGAGGCCAGGGATGCACAGGACAAGCCCCCCACAAGAGGGAGCTCTCTGGCTCCCAAACCCCACTGTGCTGAGACTGAGAACCCCTGTTTTAGTTTGTCCTGCCTCGTGATGTAGTTCAAAAACCAGTTCCTCTAATTTTTGACATAAATCTGCTGATGAAGCCACACAAAGGCCTGCATTAAACCTCACATCCCTTCCCTGCGCTCAGAAGTACATATAATTACAGTCTTTCTGCGGCAGAATGGGGGCTTAGCCCCCCAGACTTGACAACATATGCAAAGCGGATGGTAACATCCTTGAGCTGCTCTCTGAAGTGGCTGCTGGTCATGGAACGACAGAGGGAGAAGAACTTGTTTTCCCTAAACAGTTCCCACTCGCGCATAGATGTTAACACAACCCTTTCCAAACTGTCTCATACCCAAACTCCATTTTCAGTCTACTCCTCTCAGCCCTTTTACTTACTGATTTACATGCAGAAGCTAACATGCTCCAAGGATCTCTGACTCAGATGGCCATCTGATATAACAAGCTTTATTAGTACAATGGGACAGGGGGCTATTTGCTGAGCAAGTGAACACTCGTGATTCCAGGGACCTCTAGGAGCCCCACAAAGGTACCTGGACCAAGCCCACCTCCCTGTTTCTGATTTCTCAAGCCAAGGTGGGGAGCCTGGGGAAGGAAGCACCATACCTGTAACTGGTGGGTAATGAACAGAACCGTCTTCGACTTGAGGTGCTTCTGGATAGCACTGTTGAAGATGTGGTTGCCCACATGGGCATCTAAGGCACTGAGGGGGTCATCCAGGATGTAGATGTCTCGGTCACTATACAAGGCCCGGGCGAGGCTGATCCTCTGGCGCTGCCCACCACTCAGGTTGGCTCCGCGCTCGCCAATCTACAGGAGCCCAGAAAGCACGGGAAGCCTCCAGCTCAAGTCCAGAACAATGCTCAGTGATCACCCCAGTCACCTCACATCTCCCCCACCCAAACCAGCTTCTTCTCTTCACTTCCCCACCTGGATGAAGTGCTGCCATGTCCTCCAGGGCCCACACAGAACTGGGGGGGCATCAGCCCGGATGCCTCCTCCCCTCCCACCACCATCTGGCTCCTAACCAATCCTGTATCTGAGCCTCGACACGCCCTCTTGATGCCCCGCTACAATCCATTCTCCATGGGCAGAAAGACCTTTCCAAAACACAAAGCTGACCATGTCCCACCCTTGCTTAGTCCTAAAGAACATAATCTAAGCCCCCAAATATGGCAGACAAGGCAGGCCCTTTACCACCTGGTTTCCCAGCAACTCTCAGCCTCCAGTGTCAATCCCCCTTCCATACCCTGGGATCTGAGCATTTTCAATTGTGTGTCTATTATGAACACACACCACCACTGTCATGCCTTCTCCTATACTGTGTCTGCTCAGTTCTGGCGTCCTCTCCTCTGTGAAGTCTCCCCTCCCCCTCTCCACTAACACCCAAAAGAAAGGGGACTCTTTCATCAGCCTATTTTGTGCCTATTTGTCGGGATGTCTCTCTCGATTGTAAGCTTTTTGAGGACACAGACTATTGTCCTTTTCTTTTATATTCCCAGTGCCCCCAGCAGCTTCTGCACATGCAGCTGGCATATAACAAGCACTTAATAAATATTACTAAATAAACGAATGAAAAAAAATCAATTGTCAAACGGCAACTGGCTCTGTATTTTTAAAAAAATCTTATCTAAAAAAAATTCAATTAATTCAGAGGTTTTCAAATAAGAACATGTATGAGAATTACCTGCAGGGCTTGTTAAAACATATTGTGGAGCCCCACCCTTAGAGTCTTGGATTCAGTAGGTCTTGGGTGTGGCTGAGAATCTGCAGTGATGCTACTGATTTGCTGCTTATCAGGGGACCAGGATCTGAGAACCAGTCAACTAATCAAACCATTCAAATCTGGTTTGAGGGCTTAAACTGAAGTCAGCTGAATAAAAGAGTCAGCCCCGGAGACCTCCAGGACAGGTCATGGGAGGTGAGTGTCAACACTGAAGGCACTAGCCAGTTCCAAAGACAAGCCTCTGGGAACTGTTCCAGGGCAGAGAAGCAAAGAAAGGCGGGTTTGTGCTAAGGACTCTTTCTTTCTAGAGGGAGAGGCCTCTCTAGAAACCATGTGTGAGTAAGGAAGTTGGCAGAATGAAGTTCAGGGGAAGAAGCTCAACAAGCACATGCTTGACTTTGGTTTTAAAAATGAATAGGGTAGGGGCTTCCCTGGTGGTACAGTGGTTGAGAGTCCGCCTGCTGATGCAGGGGACACGGGTCCGTGCTCCAGTCCAGTCCGGGAAGATCCCACATGCTGCGGAGCGGCTGGGCCCGTGAGCCATGGCCACTGAGCCTGCGCGTCCAGAGCCTGTGCTCCACGATGGGAGAGGCCACGACAGTGAAAGGCCCGCATAACGCCAAAAAAAAAGAAAAATGAATAGGGTAGAAAACATGAATTCTGAACCAACAATGGGATTTTGTTTAAAATCCACATGACATGAAATATTTATATGCTTAAAACAGGTAGTGTTGGGGCTTCCCTGGTGGCACAGTGGTTGAGGGTCTGCCTGCTGATGCAGGGGACACGGGTTTGTGCCCCGGTCTGGGAAGATCCCACATGCCGCAGAGCGGCTGGGCCCGTGAGCCATGGCCGCTGAGCCTGCGCATCCGGAGCCTGCGCTCCGCAACGGGAGAGGCCACAACAGTGAGAGGCCCACGTACCGCAAAAATCAAACAAACAAACAAAAAAACAGGTAGTGTTGATATTCCTGCCCTAAGGACCAGATGCTTTCCTAACAGAAAGTCCCAGAGAAAGTAAAACTCCCGTGTAGGTTCTTCTCCCATGCATTTAAGATGCACTCCTAGGAGGTGGCTCTGGCATAGCCCTGCCACCTATCTTCCAGAATCCTCTCTGCTAAACACCCTGGCCCACCAGGGACAGAAGACTTGTACCTCCGTCAGGTCACTGTTGGGAAGGATAGCCAGGTCAGGCCTCAGGCAGCAGCTGTTCAGCACAGAGTTGTATCTGAAGGACACAAAGAGACCCAGCATCAGGGACGCGGTTGGGGTAGAGCCTGCTGACTCGGGCTGCCTGTGTCTCACACAGCCAAGATGAAAGCATGACAGAAACCAAACATTCCTTGCCTTTCTTCATCAAATTCCTTCCCAAAGAGGATGTTGTCTCTCAGAGTGGCATTGAGGATCCAGGCCTGCTGCGCCACATAAGCGAAGGTTCCATCGACTGCAATGCTGCCCTCTAGAAGTGACATCTAGGGAAAGAGACACCATCTAATGGCATCACAACGCAAAACCATCACCCTAAGCCAGCAGAACCCCCGACATTCCACAGAGGAGTTGAAAATCTTGGCAATTTCCTTGGATACTTTTTGAACCCAAATCTGGACCTCACCTTTGTTCCACAGAGAGCAAAGCTACAGCAGTAGCTACAGCAGTCAAGAAAATCAAAGTTCTCCTTGCTTACGTGTGATGGGAGCCCAGCATAACCCATGACTTGAATGAACAAATACTTCATTCAGCAACCCATAAGCTACTTTATTATCCTCTTTTCCTAACCGCAAACTGTTCTAATTGAAGGAAGCACAAGCAGAAGGCCCCTGCAGAATTCCCCTGGGGAGTATGCTGTAAAGATTTAGAGCTAGTCCCTGCCTCAAGATGAGCGCAGGTCAACTCATCCACAGAATTAATACAGGCTGTTGGCTACATCAGCTGCTTCTGTAAAATGAAGACCAGAGGGGGAAAAAATTCCAGTTAGACATCAACTAGTATTGCTGAGTATCTACACAATGATGACAGACCCTCCCCTCCAACATGAAGAGACTACATGATGAGCCATGTGCTTTGAATTGTGTTTTCCATTGCAGTGGTCGACATGAATCGATTTACCCATTTTATGCTCTTTCAGTGTTCCTTTTGGAACTAACAGTAGACGTTTGTCTTGGGTTAGGAATGCTATAGCTTGAAACAGTTTCATTAACCAATCTGCACATACAAGTTTGTCCTCTCAAACATGGTAATGCACAGTGTACACACACAGGCCGTAACGCAGTACCACAACTGCCCCCAAACAGGTAAGTACACTGATAACGCACTCAAGTGTTCAGAAACCCCCTGAGGGTCTAACTGTGGAAATCCAGCTCTCTCGGCTGCTACAGTACAAACACCCCACACTGCAGACCGCCAACAAAGAGTTACACTCTAAAGAAGCAGGGCTGACCGGTATTCCCAGACTCTCTGTCAGAGAGAAGGCTGTCAGGATTTGATCCAGAAGCAAAGACCCACTCATTTTTCAATTTAACTGCTGCCCACTAACCCTTCCTTCCCCTTCACTCCACCTGTATCTCTCATCACTGGCCCTGAAATCTGGCTGATGATCAGAAATTACACAGGAGGTCTTTGGTTTTTTACGAAGACCACTGGCTGAGCCCAACCACTGTACAGCCTCATAAGGCAGAAGCGGGTGTGGGTGGGAAGCTGCACCTCCAGATGATTTGAATACAGGCTTCCTCAGACCACCCCGGGCACCACTGCTCTAGAGGAGAGCCACAACTCCATCAACTGTGACAGTGACGCTGAACAGGACCAAATATTCCACAAAACAATCTTCCCCAGCTCCTTCTCCCATTTGTTTAATTTCCTCAATATGGAAAAATGACTCAGAGGACTTCATCCACCAGGAGGAATAACCTTAAGTTTATCCTCATCTCACCCAACAAGTCAAGCTAGTTTAATCCAAATGCTGACAGCCTTCTTCTGGGCCCTCTGAGCACTATTCACTCACTGCCCTGTGCTGTGCTTGTGTGTCTAGAAGGCCCAGCACCCCAATCAGACCATGGACACTCCTCTTTTTTTTTTTTGGGGGGGGCAGCGCCACGTGGCATGCGGGATCTTGATTCTGCAACCAGGGATCAAACCCGCGCCCCCTGCAGTGGGAGCATGGAGTCTTAACCACTGGACCTCCAGGGAAGTCCCAGACCATGGACTCCTTGAGGGCATAATTCTTTCAATGGTTAGGCTGAAAACGGAGTGGGTCTTTACTTCTAGATCAAATCCTGAAGGCTCTCTCTCTGAGAGAGAGGCTGGTGAGGCTGGTCCATTTGTTGGCAGTCTGCAGTCTGTCCATCCCTTACCTCTGACATTTCCCAACACACTGTCCGGCATACCTATGGCACTCAGTAAATACATGCTGAATAAAAGAAGGCAAGAGAAACAAATGACTCCAGCTGGGTACCAATCAGTCATTCAGCCCCCTTCCAGATACAGTGCTGTTGTTAAGGGGTAGGAAAGGCAGGGGGCGGGGTATGATACAGACCTAGGGTCATTTTGTTTCCACCTTTCCTGACTCTCTTCAGGAAATAAGTTCATTTTTCCTGAGACTCTGGCTAAGCAGAATCCAGAGAAAGAAGCAGAAAATGCCAAGGACAATCACAAAATCTTACCTGGCCTAAAATGGATGAAATGAGAGAGGTTTTTCCACTTCCCACACTGCCACAGATTCCAACCAGTTTACCCTGGACAAAGCACACGAGAGAGGAAGGTCGTTAAAGCACTACTGACCATTCATCTCTAGGACTTCGGATTTCTTTGAAGAAAAAAATGTTAACGACAGTCCATCACTATGGGAATGTCATCCTGAGGACACAGCAAGTCACTTACCTCTTTTCTCCCTCATCAGCCACCCACGTCATAGGGTTTCTGTGGGGATGCACTGAGGTAACAGATGTGTAAGCCTTTTGGAAAAATTAAATATGTGACAGACATTAAGGTATCCCACATCACTTTTAGAAAGGCCTACCCCCTTTCCTACTTTGTTGGTAACCCATGCTTTTTGATAACTTGTTTATTTTTCTTGTTGTTTTTGGAAAAGAGGACAGGACTCTTGAAAATTACTTTATTTTCATTTTATTTTATATGATTTTTTTCTCCAGGGTCTATAAATCATTTTCATAAAAATTATGTGCACTGTGCACTGTTGTTTCCATTTTTCTACAAAACACCTCCAAGAATCTGAGGGCATATTTTTACCATCAATCCCACATGAAAGTGGAAAACCAAGCCTGTGATTAACTGAATATCCTCAGGCAAAATGATGAGTTCTCCACGGGCAGTGTTAAACGTTTTCAAGAACAGACATGATATTAACAGGGCCACTTGTTCAGCAACACTCTGTTGCCTCAAGACTGGCAGCGAGGAGAGGCACGGAGAGTGGTGGTGTGGAAAGAGCGTGGATTCTGGAGGCAGACAGGTCTTGATTTGAATCCCAGCTCCACCAGCACTTTCCAATTGTGTGGACTTGGTCTTATTACTTAAATGAATACTGTCTCTCTAACTGAGCTTTGAGCAACTTGGAAGGAGCCATCCTTGCAGGACCAAACACAGTGTCTGGTACTTAATAAAAGTATAATGGACAAAGTTTTTGACATGGTTCAGGAAGTTGAAAGATTACAGCCCGGTCATGATGAGGAGACCAAGTCACAGGCTCAGACTCTGCTCAGGTCGGTCAGGTTAAAACAGAGAATACGCTGTTCCGATGACTAAATGGTCACTAAAGATGTCAACAATGAAGTAAGTGCCTGGGGCACAGAAGACATCAGGTGAATATTAACTTCCTACCTCTTCCCTAAAGAGGGGGGCTGGGGGAATTGTGGTATCTCTTCAAATAGCTAAAGGTCTGTCATGTGAACGTGGATGGTAAAGGGCAGAAGGAGGATCAACAGATAGAAAGGAGAAGAGTAAATTTCAGCTGATTACAAGGAATAATCCTCTAATAGAGCTGATCAGCGATGTGATATAGTTGCCTCAATCAAGATAATCGTTATTAAATAAGGAGCCTGCCGTTAAAAGTTAATTGAAGTCTGGACTTCCCTGGTGGCACACTGGTTAAGAATCTGCCTGCCAATGCAGGGGACAGGGGTTTGAGCCCTGGTCCGGGAAGATCCCACATGCCGCGGAGCAACTAAGGCTGTGCGCCACAACTACTGAGCCTGCGCTCTAGAACCCGCGAGCCACAACTACTGAGCCCGTGTGCCACAACTACTGAAGCCCGTGAGCCTAGAGCCCATGCTCTGCAACAAGAGAAGCCACCATAATGAGAAGCCCGTGCACCGCAACGAAGAGTAGCCCCCGCTCGCCACAACTAGAGAAAGCCCTTGCGCAGCAACAAAGACCCAACACAGGCAAAAGTTTAAAAATTAATTAATTAATTTTTTAAAAAGTTAATTGGAGCTATAAAAACTGACTTGTGTGCCCGCCAGGGATGAACCATGCTAGTTGTTGCAGGTGGTCTCATAGAGGACCATCTCCCCCAGCTCTTATCTATAGCTTCCAAGAGCTGGGAGCTTTTTGTTTTCCCTTTAGTCCAGCTCTGGATCTGTGTAACAGGCCTCACACCGCATTAGTACCCCCTAAGCCCACTTCCAATTAAGTAGATGAACATTCCTTACGACCTCCATTACCACCACCCTTGGTCCAGAAAACTCTTATGTTTTTCCTTGGTTCTTCTCACTTCCCTCCTTGTTTCCCTACATACTCTTCTGAATCCAGAAGCTAGAATGATTCTCTTCATACGTAAGTCAGATCGCATCACTCTTCTCCTCCAAACCCTCTAACGGCTTCTCTATCCGTTCAGAGTAAAGCGGAAATCATTCCAGGAGGCTCTGGCACCCCAAGCCTCTCTGCCCTCAGCACCCTCCCCTCTCTCCCATGCTCACTCTGCTCTTGTGACAGGCACGCTGCACACTCGGGGCCTTTGTGCTTCTGTTCCCTCTGCCTGAATGCTCTTCTTCCTCCACGTATCCATATGGCTCGCTCCTTCAAGCCTTTGCTCAAATACAGGCATACCTTGGACATATTGTGGGTCTGCTTCCAGACCACCGCAGTAAAGCAAATATCGCAATGAAGCGAGTCACACGAATGTTTTGGTTTCCCGGTGTATATATAAGTTATGTTTACGCTATACTTTAGTCTACTAAACGTGCAATTACATTATGTCTAAGAAAAACAATGTAAATACCAATTTAAAAACACTTTATTACTAAAAAATGCTAACCATCATCTGAGTCTTCAATGAGTCATAATCATTTTCCTGGTGGAGGGTTTGAAATATTTTGAGAATTACCAAAACGTGACAGCGACATGAAGTAAGCAAATGCTGACGGAAAAATGCCTACAGGCTTCCTTGATGCAGGGTTGTCAGAAGCCTTCAATTTGTAACAAATGCATTATGCCTGTTATTACTTTTTTTTTTCTTTTTTTGACTGGGCCGCATGGCAGGTGGGATATTAGTTTAAATGAGGCCTTCCCTTAAGAGGCCTATTTAAATTGAGCACACCTGCTCCCCCCCCCCCCCCCCCCCCCCCCCCCCAGCAAGCACTCTATCCCCTTTCTTCGTAGCCCTTTTACTTGTTTACCATCTATCTTTGCTCAGAAGAAGGTAAACTCCAGGGGGGCAGGGATTTGGGCCTATTTGGTTTTTCACTGCTCTATCCACAACTCTGTAACAGTGCCTGGCAGGGAGCTGGCACTCAAAAATGGAATGAGTAGATATATATACACCTGGGACCCTCTGGCTGCTGCAGCCCTCAACATGGCGCTGGCTCCCAGTCACATTCTGTATTTTAAAAGCCTTAAACCTGAAGTGTCTATGGCAGCCACTCTCTATAGGAGGACCTGTGGGAGACTCTAGTCCTGTGTTACCTGGGCCGTGACATCATATACCATAACGATCCTTTCCTTAAAAAATAAAGTTACAATAGAACTGCTGAGCACAGCATCACTGAGAGTACCTATTATATGTCAGGTTCCGTGCTATGCACAGCCCAGTGCTAATAAGAAGCTCATGCAGACCTACAATAACTAGAAATCATTATTACAGCTCACGTACAACTAAATCAGATCTATTCAGGGCAAAATTGCGGAAAACCCGCTCGAATGCTTCATTTCCTTGCTTATAAAATGAGTATCTCATGAGAGCAGTTGTTATTCATTTCTATTGTTAAATGCCTAAATATCCCTTCTAGAGGCGGAACTGGCCAGATTTGCTCTTTAGTTCAAAACCACTCCCAGATAGACACCTGGTAGATGGTTACCTCTTCAATTTCCAAGTCGATGTTGTACAGCGTCCTCTGCAGGCGGAGGTTCCCCAGGTGGGTGTGCTTGCCCTCTTCCTCCTCAGGACTGGGCCGCTCATCACTGTCCAGCAGGAGGTGGCCCTTCTGCTCTGCCAGCACCGCCTGATGCTCAGTGGGCTGCAGCTGCCTCACCTTCTCTTTCTTGCCCCTGGCAGCCCTCTTGTCTTTTTTCGTTTTGGGGGTCAGCTTGGGTGAGTTCTGGAGACTGGAGTGGGAGGAGTCCCATGCCAAGGTGGCATTTTTCATCTCTATCGTGATGTGAGGGCTGGCTGGTTTTTTCTGTATCATGTGAACCTCTTCCATTAGAAACAAACTCTGATAGGAGTTGTGAGAGAGGTGCAAAGATGAGACACTGGATCAAGACCAGGGAGACAAGCCTAGGGCGTACACTCACGAAGCAAAACACATCAGGCTATACAGTGGAAGGAAGCTGAAGGGCAAAAGGTAGCTCATTAGTGTAGCCCAGCCTCAGGCCCACGGAGAGGTCACGGGAGTGTGGGGACACCCTCGGGATGGACAGGGGCCTACTTAACTGGCCCAACACTCGACGCTACCAGTTACATGCTAAACTACTTTCCTTTTCCACCAGTCTAATGTGGGCCAAGGGCTATTTAACTGACTGGTCTGCAGCCCCTGTTCTCACTCATGAGTCGCTGAGTAGCAGGTAGTAAAATGCAAGCAGGGAAACCAAAGGGCAGCCACGCTGCTCCCCTGCTCAGACCCTCATCACTCTGTCTGCCTTCCAGACCACTCCTGCAGAACCCCCAAGCCTAGGCACTTCCCTCATGCACATGTCAGGGGGAGAGGCAGCGCTGAGATTGTGACCAGGCCTAGCTCACTCCGGTTAGAAAGGAGTACCTAAGGTTCTATTGACGGCGGAGTACATCTTCTCGCCAACAAGTTCTCATGTCTTCCAAGTCCTGCCTCGGAACTTGTGAGAATTCAAACAAAGGGCTTGCGTGGAAGGGAAGGGTATCTCCCTCAGAAACATCCTTGGGAAGAAAGAAAGACTCTTCCCTCCCACTCATTCCCCAAGTCCCACTGAGGTATATCAGGGGAAGAGAAATGGAATGCTTGAAAAACTAAATGTCTCTGAAATTAGATCTGAAACAGTGACCATAATAAACCTCTGCCCAGGACCAACATGTGACCATGACTTTGAACCCACTTCTGACACCTCCCTTAACCCAGTGATCTTCCCTATAGGGTGCTATCCCATTTGGATTCCCAGTACGATTAAAATTTTTTTTAAACGTTAGAAAGTCTTTAGAGAAAAGATGGCTTTTAATGGCAGGACTCTTTGCTTAGTTACCGAGAACCCCCAACTATTTTAAAGTTTGCAGGTGCTATTAAATGTACCATATAATCCCCTCGCCTAAGAGCAAGCTCTTTCTCCTAAATCCTAAACTCCTAGCTTGCTCTTTGCATCCCTAAATTGGCACGTCTCCTATCCATTCCCAATCCCTGATCTTCCCAGAAATGTCATGTTTCTAAATCTCCTAGATAATCTTCACTCTTGGTCAACCTTTAAAAAAAGTAGTTTTTTTTTTAAAGTTCAGTTTTCTGAAAAGAGCCATTGGTTTCATTTGCTCAGAGCCTTCCTAAGAGACTGGGCTGAGAATAACATGACAAATATTCTGCCCACCTTCACAGAGTGAAACCATATGCTGACAGAATTCCTATCATTTCTCTCTCCTAAAGAGTTACTAAATGGGTCTTGTAGGCCTCATGCACTATAAAAACTATGCTAGTGCCTCTGGCTTGCACAGCTCGTCCACACTTTCCCTTCCCACAGGCTCCCTGCAGCCCCGCACTCCTCCCAGAAGGATTTCAGCTTCAGGTCACTGTGCCTGGACATGCTGAGGCACACAAGCGCCCCACACACCTAAATTTATATCTACTTGGATTTGCACCTGCCAGGACAACAGAATCTTAGAGATACATAAACCATAAACCTCAACTTTACATCAAAACACTACTCTCACTCACTGAAGCAATCAAATCAGAATGTATCTTTTGAGCAGAAGAGGAGAGACTACTCATAGGGTTGCCAGATAAAATACAGGATGCCTAGTTAAATTTTGATTCCAGATAAATAATGAATAGTCTTTTAGTATAAGTACGTCTCATGCAGTTTTAACTGGGTGGCCTGTGTTTTTATTTGCTAAACCTGGCAACACTATACTGGTGACTGTCTTATCAGAAAAGTTACAAGGTGGCTTCTCACTGCCTTTCTAAAGTTATCATCCTCCCAGAAGTGGAGGCGGGGGGGAAGGAGGAGATTTGCCAAGAGGAATTAGCTAGAATGAGACTCATTCTCATGAGGCATACAACAGAGCTGGGGGTGATTTTGCTTCTATTATTAACTCTGAAGCTTCCTGGATAGAGGAAGGATCTGTAGCGTGAGAAGCCACCTGCTAAAACAGGTTCTCACTAGTAAGTGAAAAGAAGAGAGCTCTCGAGAAATAAGGGGGTTGGGGTGGTGTGTGAACAATCTGTACTATAAATTCCTATTCCTTCGTCCAAAATGCCACCAAAGCCATTCACTAAAAAGGACAGAGAAACAAATAGGGGGACAAATTTATGCTCAAAACATCTGCCTTAGGGGTGGACATTCTGTTTATCACAGATAATTTCAACTGATCTGTCTTCAAGTTCACAGACTTCCTTTGTCACCTGTATTCTGCTACTAAGTCCATCCAATATATTTTCAAATTTTGATTAATATATTTTCTTAGCTTAAAATTTTTTTATTTGGTTATTTTCTATATCTTCTATTTCTCTGCTGAGACTTTCTACCTTTTCATTTCTAAGGTCTTTTTCTGATAATTCCAACATTTGGGTCATCTCAGTATCTAGACTTTCTTTGTATGCAGAGTAATGTTGGATTGTATCCTGGGCATTTTGAATATTATATTATGAGACTCTAGGTCTTGGTTAAATCTTATATAAAATGTTGCGTTTTTCTTTTAGGAGGAAATTGATCCATTTAGGATGAGCTCTGGTCTGCTTCCTGTGGGCTGTTATAAACAAGACAACAGGCCCCAAATGGAGTCACTTATGCTAAGCCCCATGTCACCAAACTGAGACTTAACTATAGTTTCAGCTCTCCCAGAAATGGAATATTAAACAAGTCAATCAGGAATCACCTGATCAGCACTAGTTAGGTAACCTGCCTGATAGACCCCTGCCATCCCCTAAAGGAAAGTAACCTTGTAATAACCAATGCGATTTTCTGCCTAGAAGAACTTCCTTGTTCCTGCTCCCTTCTACCTATAAAAGTCTTTCATCTTGTACAGCTTCTCGGAGCTCCTTCTGGTTGCTAGATTGGATGTTGCCCAATTCATGAATCACTGAATAGAGCCAATAAGATTTTTTAAATTTACAAAAAAAAAATCTGCGTTCTTCAAAACTAGATATTGTGCGTTCTGCAAAATAAGGCTCTGATTACAATTAGACCATTTCTTTTCACGTGGCTCTGGATCTTGGCCTTCTAGTAGCCAGGCTGGGGCGAGGGAGGGCTTGGGGCTAGGGTCGGGGGGCACATTCTTGAGGACTAGCTTTCTTGACCAAACAAAATTCACCTGGTTAACCATAAACAAGTAAGATATAAATAAATCTTGGGAAGCTATTCCCCATGCTTCTTAAGAGGAAAACCCAATTTGTTTTCTGCTGAACACCTAAGGTGATGATATTAATCCCTCAAACACCTGAGCTTCAAGCCTTCAAGATCTTGCTTTCGTATTGCTCTCAGCAGCCAAGAAGAATTAGCAGGAGCTACTCTCTGCAGTGGCTTTGTCAAGAGAGTCCAGCCACACAGGTGCTGGACGTTTTTTTTTTTTAAGTATTAACCACTTTCAAATATCTATCTCCCTCCACCCTCCCAAATATATCTACCTCTTGTATCATGTATTTGTATTATTCTGAAGGCACAAAAAACACAGTCAAGGCACAATCAACTAACCACCTGCAAGGAAAAAAAAAAACCCTGATACGTACTTAACTGCAGTTCTCAGTATGATCTAGTCTTATGACTATTCCCATGTCACTGCGTTACCTGTATCATGAGTGGCAACCACAGGGCAGGGAAAAGAATCAAAAAGAGCTTATTCCCGACAGTATTTTGGTAGAGGTAGATGCAAATCAAGGTGAGAAAAAGCTGACAGCCTCCTGATAATTCTAATTGCCTAGGTTTGAATCACTTAAAGACCCAGTAAATTATAACATATATCCATGTTAGGTCCAGGCAGAAGGGACTACCTCTGAAGGGGAACACTGAAATTTTGGAAGCCCAGAACTAGGCTGTCTACAAAAGGTAAAAATTCATATTTCTTTGAAAAGGTCCCCTGAGCCTCTTCCACTGCCCCCTTTCTTACCAACTTGCCGAAAGGCTAAAGGTGAAAAAAGCCAAGTGCAGCCAGCCCATGTGGCCCATTGGAATAAAGGCAGCAGTTAGTTTTGCCACAGCTCCTGACACGGAGGAGGGAAGGGAGCCACTTACCTTAAATCTGTCGACAGCAACGGATGCTTCTGAGAGGGACTTTACTGAGAACGGTGTAACTTTCAAAGCAAAAGTCATGGAATTGAAGACAGTCACCACTGTGAAAGCCTGAAAATAGGAAAAGAGAAGAAACTGAGCCTGATGAGGCTATGCGACTAAAGTAACACGACGTCATCAATTTCCTTTCAGGTTTAAGGAGGGCTGTAACTTGACTGTCAAATGTTGGTAAGAGTCAGATATATTTCAGATATATATTTTTTAAGGTAGAGTTTTTGAGACCTCTAATTAAAATTCTCAGTGAATCTAAATCAAACAATGACCTGTATTTTCAGAATTAAACCCAAAGTTGTAAAACAACCCGTACACTTATTTGTGCACTGGGGCTAAATCCTCACTCTTCCACTTCTCAGATTAACCGCATGAATGAAAGAAATCCAAATCTAGTAACCAGAGGACTAGAGCATCTCTATATGTGGTATTTCTAAAACGTCCCCAAGCCCTGAGGGCTCACTGACCTGTGCTGCTGTCAGATCAAAGCCAAGGGTCATGTGAACAGAGAAGGTCACAACACTGGCGATCACCATCACAATGGGAGCCACACCGACGGTGATGCTCTGAAAGTACCCGGCTTTTTCCAACATCCGACGTTCCTCCTCTCGGATTTCTAAGAATAAAAAGCAAGCCAGTTTCTAAAAAGCAAGTCGAAAGAAACCATGGGATATTGCTCCTCTGTCACCAAACAAGACTTGGTAGGTCTTCAGCCACCATAGGTTTTAAAACGACCCTGTAACATTTACGATGCAAAAAACTAGGTCAATATGGCCATCAATTACAATCACAAAAGCTGGCATACAAGCTTGAGGTTTGAAATGCATCAAGTCACAGGAATGAATCTAACAGAAAACAGTCACTACTTCTCAGTACAATGATCATCTTCTGCCTTAGTCTCATTCTTTTTGCAAATTTCTTTTGTTTAGAAGGAATGAACACATGAATCATATCTGCTAGTGGCAGTTTTGTTTGCTTCCCTGGTTGTTTATTTCTAGGTTAAGTACTTATAAGAAAGATTATACAATGATAATGGAGAATTAAAAAGGAACTAAGATTTACTAGGGTGTCTACTGTAGGTATGTTGGTGCTAGAATAGAGGCTTTCACACAAAAAGCAGTAAGGGTGATTGGAAGAAGATGAGTGAAATACAATTTTTGTAAGCAGAATGATTTTTCTTAAATATTTATAAAACTGACAACCTTATTATCAGAGCAACCATGGAGTACAAAAGACCAGGGAGTAAGAAGTATGACAATGAAGCGGTGAGGTATTTTCAAAAAATTTTCAAACATAAAAGCAATTTTTCTGGGAGACTATGAACTGACCTTTAAAGGTATTACCACTCTCCCAAACACTGGGAAATATATTGAGAGCCAGCTCTCAAGTCATAGTTTTAAAAAATTCGACTCATTGCTTTAACATGTATCACATAACTTGCCCAAGTCTATAATGAGCAAGGATGCTCTTTTCAAGCTAAAAGACACAGGTAAAGATACCAAAGTCAGGGGCTGAAGGATGAGTGGAGTCACAGAAAGAAGATTATAAAACTGAGAAAATTAGAATCTGAGAGCCGGAAGGGACTATCATTGGTGACCCTGCCAACAGGCTTAGCAGATGTCCTGTTAGCACCCAATTGTTCCATTCTATTGGCAACAAACTCACTACTTAAAGAAGGAGGCTAATTCACTGCTGGATGCTTCTGACCACTCATAATTAAAGTGTATGAAGTGGACACAATGTTCCTGAAGGTTTAGTCAACAAACCAAGCAGTGAAAATAAAACAGCTTCCTTGATCTGAACACTGTATTTCTATTCAACCCAAAATTGCACCAACTTTTAAACTTCTTTTTTTTATTTTTTGGCCACGCCACGCAGCATGTGGGATCTTAGTTCCCTGACCAGGAACGGAACCCACGCCCCCTGCGGTGGAAGCGCGAAGTCTTAACCACTAGACCGCAGGGAAGTCCCCTGCACCAACTTTTTAACTGGATCATATTCAGGTTAGCTCACTGTGAGATTATGGTCAATGAACAGCCATATCTTTTATATTTAAATTAAATTTAAATGTAACTATGTCTTCTCATTTGAACTCTAAAGCGCCTTTAAATATTTATTTATTTTATTTATTTATTTATGGCTGTGTTGGGTCTTCGTTGCTGCGCTAGGGCTTTCTCTAGTTGCAGCGAGCGGGGGCTGCTCTTTGTTGTGGTGCGCAGGCTTCTCACTGCGGTGGCTTCTCTTGTTGCAGAGCACGGGTTCTAGCCGTGTGGGCTTCAGTAGTTGTGGCACACAGGCTCAGTAGTTGTGACTTGTGGGTTCTAGTGCAGGCTCAGTAGTTGTGGTGCATGGGCTTAGTTGCTCCATGGCATGTGGGATCTTCCCGGACCAGAGCTTGAACCCGTGTCCCGTGCATTGGCAGGAGGATTCTTAACCACTGTGCCACCAGGGAAGTCCCCTAAAGTGCCTTTAAATACATTTTTCTTAACTTCACCTTTTTTAGGGCCCAAGATTTCAACTTTTGTTGAGATCTTTTGGAATGCCCAGCTAATGTGCTAATTATTCCTCCAAACTTTGTGGCATTTACATACAACATGTTTATGTCTGCAATGAATTTACGGACCAGGATCGGGGCAGGCACTGAGAACCTTGTGACTCAACACAAATCAATTATTTGAGAAGAAACCAAATTAAAAAAACCCTGTGAGTGAGTGGCAGAGCGAGGCCCAGAGTCCAGCTGTCCTGACCTCCAGCCTAGCCCTTCTCCCAGCACTACCCCCAGGGTCTCACACCCACCTACCCGTAGTGCGCATGCACACACAGAGTGGTGGGGGCAGAAGTGCCGCCACTTGATACTGTTTTCTGTGATGTCCTCATGGCCAGACCAGAAAATTACGGGCTGGATGAGAGTATAGATAGGGGGCTTTGAAACTGAATGAATTACTCATAACCAGCTGAGTTATCTTGGGAAAAATCACAGTTTTCTCAGGTCTCAATTTCCTCATTTGTGAATTGAGGTTATGGGTGCCAGTCTCTAAGATCCCTATCAACGTAAAGCTCATAGGCGAGTATTAAGAACATAAGGTATTATGATCCTATGACATTAGGATTCCCAGGAGCTAATGTGCTCAGGAAGCACAGAAGCCAACATCCTTCTACCAGTTACACATATGAAGTCTTTAAACTCACTTTGTACACTCTGAGAGAATGCTTTGACCCAGGCATACATTTTAATAAATTTAATGTAGGTAAGGACTTCATTCATCTTCTGGACACGGTCGTCTGTGATGGTCACACATTTTCTCCTGAAATATGCAGTGATCCGTGATACAAACATCTGAAAGGAAAAGCGATGTCATGCCAAATCACAGCTTATTCAGAGTTAGAACCGTCTAGTCTCTCTGGGAGATAAATCCGCTTAAGGTTATTATAAATAAAGTGAGCATCCCGTGGTTATACTGCTTTTTAATAGAAGTGGTCTATTAAATGATAATCAAAGAGTATTTGACTCTTATCCTTTGGAAGAAAGTTAAGACAAGTAAATATTTGTCCTCAGAGTAATCACAGATATCTACGCTACCAAAGGGAAGCGGGAGAGCCATATTAGTTAGCATCACCTTGAGGTGGCGTGACTCAAGCTCTCCTGCGTTACCTGGGGAAAGCAGGGTTCACCTGATGACCTCCTTCACTCACACTCCCTCTTTTTAAATCTCATTTAGGAGCTACTGTCTTTACTCATGTGACGTCCTCTGAAGTCAAAATGCTGCCTGTATGGATTGAACCCTGTCTAGCTCTTTCCAGACGTCCTCTGAAGTCAAAATGCTGCCTGTATGGATTGAACCCTGTCTAGCTCTTTCCAGACATTTCCAAACCAGGTACCTGCTTAAAGGAAATTTCCAATCAAGGATGTGATACCTCGGTGGTGCCTACTATATATAGCCCAGTGGAAGTAACTCATCTAAAGAGAAGCTGCCAAAATACGGTAAGGAAGCTTACTCACCATTGCAGGATAAAAGAGGATAAAAACAGCCGATCCCAGGAAGCCTGTTGGTCCCAGAATAATGACATTATAAATCATGCCCAAGATGGCAATAACAGGTCCTCCAGCCAACAGGCTGCCAACGGCAGCTGCCTCGAACATCCTCTGTCCGTCGTTGGAGCACAGGTTGATGAGCTACGAGACACAAAGAGCAGTGAGTGGACACTGCGAGGACGCAGGCACTGCCTCAGGAGGAAGAGGAAGGACAGAACGGGGACCCAAGGGAAGGAAGAAGCTCAGGTTGGGAGCTTTCTCTCTGCCCTGAAGCCAACACCCCTCGCTCACCTCACCCACGGACTTCTCCTTAATGTTCTTCAGCTTAAGGATCTTCTTAAACGCCATGGTCAGGATGGCCCCCCGCAAGCGGACCCCAGTTCGGTAATTCAATGCCCACGTCAGCGCAAGCGACCAAGAACGCACGATTTCTGTCAGGAGGAGGCCCAGGACTAACAGCAAGCTGTACTGGAGGTTAGACTCTGTGTCCTGGGTGTACTCCAGGAGGTGTTTCACCACGAAGGCCTACAGGGAGAAACACACACCACCGTCAGCTTCTCCACGGCACTCACACGCCACACCACAGTTTTATGTTAAGTTAGAAAGAGGAGGCAGCTCCACTGTACAGTGATAAGTGCCTAAGCAGAGAAAGACCTTCTCGGAGGACCAACTATTGCTGACGGCCCACTTGCAGCTATTTACGCAGAGCAATTTGCAGGAGGTAGGTCTAATTTGAAACTTTCTTCTTTCAGGACACCACCAAAACCCATACTCTTTCTAATGTAACATAAACCTGTCCATGAGCTGAAATTCATTCTCAACACACGGTCATTAAAAAGTATATATTTGACCTTATTTCCAGTATCTCCACACAATGATACATTTCTTTACATGAAATTAAGACCCTTTTTTTTTTTTTTTGGATCGTTTCAAACGTGCTTATTTGATAAAAAGGAACAGTGTACCTACAGTTGGACTGGGGAAGAGTGAGAAGTGCATTTGCAAAACATTCCTGAAAATAAACATCAGCAGTTTAATAGTACAGAAGAGAGCAAACAAAGCTGACTATTCAAAATCCAGAGACCCTCCCCAGGGCCCTCCCACACTCCCCGCTCCCTCCCAAAAACAAAAACATGTTACCTCAGGTAGCACATGTCTAACACCACCTGCAGGGAGGGAAGGCAGCAGCCCCCAAGAACCACCGAGTGCCACCTCCAGCTCTGAGGTCCTGCAACGCCGGAGCACACACTCACACGAGGCACATTCAGCAACAGGATTAAATACCAGGAAGTGGGAGGTAATGTACTTTTATTGAATATGAAAAAAATAAAAAGTACCATCTTCAAAGAGCATCTCACAGACACTGTACAACAGGAGGAGCATTGCGGTAACATACATGGGAACATACAGAGTCGAGTTATACAGGGCTAGCCAGCCAACAGGTCTGGCCTCGACTGTTGTTTTAACTACACACAGTGGCAATTACAGCATAGAACCAATATCTGTTTCCAGAGTCCGGAGTAGCGCATCAAGCTGACAGCACTTAATCGGTTAGGGCTCCTGAAGTTGCAGTTAGCCTGCAATAGAGGAGATTCTCCAGGAATAAAGACCTTGCTGCTAAGGAAAGAGAATTAAAAAAACAAAACTGAAAACTCCCCAAAGAGTTGGCTCTGCTTAAAATCACTGGTCCTATTGGTTCACTAGGCTGTGAGGAGTGACCTCTGCTCAGGAGGGAATACAAAAATCTAGGCCTCAAGGAAAAATGGGTGGCATCCTTCAGAGTCTTTTCGAGTCCTTGCAGCTAAAGTTGATCTTGCCAAAAATGAAACAAAACAAACCACAACAAAAGAAAGCCAAATCAATCCCCCTCCCCGAAGGAAGAAAATAAAATTAAGGAGAAACCCATTCACCCATCTACACCGATCCTTATAGCAAAGGGTACTATAGCTGGAGACCAGCGCTTGAATGACAGATAAAAATGGAGGCCAGAAGCAACTGTCCTGAAGCAGCTAATGCTGAATTCCAGAACCCAGACTCTCTCTGGGTAAATCGGTATTTCTTGCTTTTCCTGAGAGGAAATTAATATCAGATGTCGACTAGATCCTAAGAGATTCCCACCAATCAGATTTATGTCAAGTCTCAGTAAATAACCTGATCAAATAAATAGGAGATTTCAGATTCCAAGAACTATTGTATCCCACCTCTCCCCTCCCTCAGATTTTTAGGTTTTATATCCATTGCTTGGGTCACCACTGCATACAGCTGGGTTGTTGGTTTACTAGCAAGAAGATTGGCTTCTTTTCCAGTATGCAATCCAAAATGTGGAACTGAGTCACTGAGTGGCAGGGTCAAAACCCCATTTTCCTCACGTGAAGCAACTCAGTAAGATGGCGGTGCAGTAAAGCATTTTCTCACACACCTCGGCACTGACGGAGCAGTCTCCAAAGGAAGGCGTGAAAGGACAGCAGGTTGTAGTTTGGGGTTCCTTCCTTCCCATACCTTTATTGTGCCATTTTTCAGCACCAGGTAATAGCATTAGTACCTCCCAGAGAGGAGGAGCAGAGGGAAGGTGAAAGACAAAATGAATGCTTACACTATGCAAAACTTTCAAAGGGGAGGGAAAAGAGGAAACAGCAGATTAAAGAATTTCCAACACATAGGGGTTTTTTAAAAAACAATTACATTTCAAACCATTTTGTATGGAACAAAGAAAAAAAAAAGGTTTTCATGAAAAATCTAACCAAAATTTCGTTTTAAAAGGTTACAAATTAATCATTTAAATTTAAACAAACTGGGAGAAAACTTGAGACTGTCAGCATAGTTGTCTGGCTGTGGAAAGCATTCCCAGTGAATAAACATTACCTTACCTGAACTCTTGGCGAGAGATTCTGCCCAGCTTGACTCTCTCATTCTGACCGCAGAATACAGCCATCCTGAAAATTCTAAAGAACAGCTTCTGTCACTGGTTCCACTACAGAGACACTCCCCCCAAATCCAGATCCTGACAGCATCAAGCAAGCTGCAGCTGGAGAGAGGTTGGAAGGGTGGGAAACTTACCTCTCTAGAGGCTTTTCACTGTCCTTTCCCCAAAAGGCCCGTGAGCAGAGTTAGCATTCACCAAGAGATAGCACTGCAGGAGGGAGCCGTCTCTTGCAGATCTACAGGGCGGATGCTAATTCTTTACACACAAATCATAGGTCAGGCCTGGTCTTTTAAAACTGTTTTAATCCAAGAAGGCCACAAATCACCTCTGCAAGTTTAGCAATTTGGTCACTCATCGTAGGTCAGGACCATACCCTTAGGGATTCTGGCTCTCCATTAACACTATGGTGACCCTTGGACACCGTGTGCAGAGCACTGGTCCACTGGCATCACTGAAACCTTAGATCGTCTTGATCATTAATGTCCAGCCCCAGCTGGCCAGCAGTTAAAAAACAAAACAAAACACAGTCACTTGATTGTGTTTTATTTGCTCTGCATATGGCTACCAAGGTTCAGTGAGACCTGAGGGGAGAGTAAAAAAAATATATGGTATCTGGGGAGTCAGATCTTACGTAGATTTCTGTAAGAACAGACTAAGCCAGTTTGAAAGCCTCGCCGTATTAGAAAATGTGCAAAAATCTAAAATGGATGTTCTTCCAGAGGATTTAAATCCACAGATGGAAGGTATGCTCATTGCTAATACTAATCTCAAACCCGATCCTTCAAATTTCCAATTAAAAAGAAACTTGTCAGAATTAGAGCTCCAAAAAAGAAGTTTTCATTGCTTACAATTTGAAATCTTTTTTTATTAATTAGAGACACTGTGGATGGGACCATTGCTTTCTTGATTGTTCTAGGGGAAAATCTCCCAAAGTAACACAGGCCTTAAGGTGCTCTTCCTCAAGAGGGTGGAGAAAAGGAAAAGCGTGCTGCTGTCTTCCTATTAAAGGAAGGCTCTCAGCTTTCCCTGGCATCTAGAAGAGTTTACTAGAGATTAGTATTCCAGTGCGCTGTGCCTTAAAAGAGAGATAAAGGAATATGCAGATGCTCAAGTGAGTGACTGTAAGGCCCCCCAAGCTGAACAAGCATAAGAAACTTTTTTTCCCAAGTAAAAAATTAAAGTCCCAACAATCTATGGAATTTTGGGGGGGGGGGGGGGAGGTGGGAGGAGCCAATTAAATTCTTGCGTTGGCCGAATGGAATCAAGGAAGCCTGTATACCGTGCTACCCAGCTGCAAGAATTCTTCCAAAGATCAGAGCAGCCACCAGCCCTGTAGTGAAACAATGACAGAAGCTCTTCTTGGGGGAAGCTGGTCCTATGAAAACGTTTGCCATTTTGGTCAGTGACATGATATTCAGTTACATGGTCCCTCTTACTTAAAATTTATACAAAAGTATGTTAGTTGGTCAATGAATAAGAAACCCAATACCAGAAAAGTAGTGTTCTCTGCTCCAGAAAAGAGATCAAAACTTTTAAAAGGCATCAGACATTAAAAACAAAAACAAACAAACAAACAAAAAAACATAACAGAAAAACTGCAAATTAGTTTTACCTAATCACCATGCACCTTAGGCCCATACTTACCAAAACCATGACCCTCCAGCTTACCCACACACGGAAAACGCACAGAATAAGGAGTACTACGGCTCCGATGCCTCAAGGCAAATATGTAGAGAATAGATTTAATCAAAGTCTCAAGTGTAAGGCAGCACAGCAGGTGTAAGAAACAGGTGTCCAGAAAACAGCGTGACCGTCACTCTTCTCCCCTACTCTGCTTCAGCAACACTAGGAAAACCAGGGCTGCAACCCCAACACCTGCCACACGGTTTACACTATAAACCAGAACCTGAAATGGACTTCAGGTTAGCCTCTAAGAACCTCAACAGTCCTCCAGCTTCTTGAGGGCTCATGTGCCACAGAACCGTCAAACATGTGACAACTCTGCCCCCAGACCTTCAGTGTGTCACCAGCACCAACGCAACAGCCTACGCCACACAACACTGCTCTCGGCTGCTCACGGAACTGTGAGACACCTTTCCCGAACCGGGACTGTCGTTTCGTGTCGATACGCCGCAAAGCAGCGCGGCCCTGGGCAGAGCTGGAGTCATTCAGCTTCACCCCCACCCCAGGGAAGCAAGCCAGGTCCGCTTCTCCTCTGGCAACACAGCCCCCTCCTCCTTCCAGTTCTCACAAACCACCATTCACCCCAACATCAACTGCGCCCTTGCAACAGACCTGGAGGCATCTCTAAGGCTGCTAACTAGCCCAAAGGTGAGGGCAACCCCTGCAACAGAACAAGAAGGTTACAGCTGGCCATGGCTGGGGCCCTGGAGACTGTTAGGAAGGATGGTTAGGACTTACTGGTCCACTGAAGCCAGCCAGCTGCGTGATCATCAGGCACACGATGGAGAGGATGAGCCTGGTGCGGCAGAAGGTCCACACAACCCTCCGGAGGGAAGCATCGTCTGGCCCAACTTCATGCAGCTCTTCTTGCCACAGTCTCTCTAGTCTTAACAAGGGCACATGTCCTCCGTCACACATCTCCCCAGGGAATACGCAAACCCCCACCCCCACCCCCACCCCCCACCCCCCCAACCTCCCTCCTGCCACCATTCACACCAGTCTCTCCTTTCAAGTTATGTACAGTCTTCACCTTCTGGGGAAGAAAGACCTTTCCTGGGTAACTACATATTTACCCTGTATAGGGAGCCTCTCGGGATTCAGAAAATGATGAGAACGAAAAGTCTCTCCTTCCACCCAGAAAAATTATCCCTGAATAGAATCTGCCTGTGGATAAGAACTTCCTTCCTCAAGGGTCCCCAACCCTTTCTGAAGGATCCTGTGGTAAAATGTAGAGTCGTAACTAGATTTTAATCATGACAATCGGCTACCACAAAAATGTATTCTGTCACAAGGCAGCAACATAATCTCCCTGCAGACTCAGGAAGAGAAGCGGGGCTGAGAGAGAGAGAGAAAGCCCGTGGTTAAAACAGGATTAAAGATGATATAGGAGTTAAGCAGAAGAGCAAAGGGAAAGTCACCCCCAGGCTACCCTCCCTCCATAGGATAGCTCAGATCCTAAAAGGACACAGAGCTCTGGACCTGACACTGCTGGACCCACACTCCTAGCTCAGGCCCTACACAACCAGTACGTGGGAGATGAGGGTGGATCAGAGACGCCTACCTTCTACAGTTCACCTCGGAAGACTCGTGCTTGGACAAAGACCACACGTCCTCCATTAAGAGCTCCCCCTTCTTGTGGGCTATGCGAGCCAGAGGAGAAAGCCAAGAAAAAGTCATACAGGAGAAGAGCCCAGCATTGTCCACTGGGTGCTGGTGTCTGAGGACAGAAAACCCAAAGCACAAAACTGTCAACACACGTGGAGAGGCTAGCCAACACTTACAATACAATGTTTAGTATACAGAACTCCTGGCTAAACCCAGGTTTTCCCCAAATAGTCTAATCTTAGCCCGAATTTTTTTTGGTGCTTCACAGACAAGCCACTAACCAGCAGAACCTCTTACTTGGAAGTGGTCCGGATGGGCTTCAGAGCACTTAAGCTATGATGGTACTTTCCCTTGGGATGTTCCTCATCCAGGATTCTGAGCTGAGAATGCATGGAGGCATCCAGGGAAAGGCCCTCAGCTCGGGCTGCTGCTTCCAAGGCATCTTGGCAATCCAGCTGTTTCAACAGATAGGGAGGGAAGGCAAAAGCACAATTAAGGAACAGTAGAAAAACAGAGAGCACCAAATCTGCCTGACATTAACAGCTCAAACTGCAAACCAGATTCATCTTACCCAAGAAATCCCAAGGGTCAGTAGGTTAAACACTAACTTGTATGATATGAACTTGCTAAGGAACATTAAACCAGATACTTAAAATTTCTAAACTAACAGACTTCATTTTTGAGTACTTTCAGAAAAAATTGAGCAGAAAGTACAGAGAGTTCCCATATACCTCCTCACCTCCCCCCTCTCCTCCCCGTTTCCTCAATAATTAACATCTTGCATGAGTGTGCTACATTTGTCACAACTGACAGCCCAATACTGATATATTATCACTAACTAAAGTCCACAGTTTACATCATTATTCACTCATTGGGTTGTATATCTTAAAATTTATATTTTTATCACTAAAATGTTTTATCTTTCATTTCCCAATATAGACTGAGAGTCAATTACTACACTACTAACTGCAAATTCTATTGCCCATTTTCTATGGCAAAAACTTCACAATCCCCCCCCACTCCCGCCTTATCAGCCCTGTGATGCAGAAAAAGCCGGGACGCACACATGCCTCCTCTCTCTCTCTTATCAGCAACAGGGAGAGCAGAAGCGGGGCTCTCACCCTGGCTGCCCCGCTAAAGAGCTCCTACCCAGACTTCTGCAGCATGAAGCAGAGAGTCTCATGGGTGGAAATACAAAGTTATACATATTTTACTATAAAGTTTACAAGTACCAATTAATCATATTAACAAAAATGCGTATAATTCAAAGTCTGACTGTGGCAGAAGAGGGTGGACCAAAAATCTGGACACGTCTACGCCCGTTTACTCTAAAAGTAACCCAAAGTCACTTAATTTTTTTAAAAAGTTTATTGAAGTATAGTTGATTTACAATGTTGTGTTAATTTCTGCTGTACAGCAAAGTGATTCAGTTATACATATATATATATTCTTTTTCATATTCTTTTCCATTATGGTTTATCCCAGGATATTGAATATAGTTCCCTGTGCTATACAGTAGGATCTTGTTGTTTATCAACCAAAGTTACTTTTGCAGTTACTGTTGCAGAAACATAAGCATTCTTTTCCTCAAGTAAGGATGATAAGGACCTTATGCTTTTCTCACATTCTCACAAATATTTCCAGCAATTATTGTGAACTAGCAAGAAAGAATAGATCCCCAGATCAAGAAAAAGTTAAGTGGTGCAGCACCTAACACACTGTGCCTCACACGAAGTGGAGTCTCTATTTTGACACACCACCTCTTTTACACACAAAACAGAGGCAACTCAAATATTAAGGATTTGTGCCTGGGGGTCACCTGCATGCCTATGTGGCTCTCTCCTCAAATACAATAGCTTAAGTTCACAGCACACTTATGAATCTTCAGATAAGTCACTGCTTAGTATCAGGCAAGTACACAGCAACTGGGAAGCATTTTTTCCCTTTTGTCAAAGGCAAGGCAAACTTCAAAACAAAGTCTACCTTCAAGAGAATAACAACAAAACGTGACAAAGGAGTCAACACCAAGAAAAGAATGAACTCATATAAAGTCCTTAGTTATTAGGTGAACACTTATTTATGGCACCTAAAAATGAACTTAAGTCTACTGAGATTCAAGTACACAACAAAGGTTTTTTTGTTTTGTTTTGTTTACTTAATATTTATTTAACCTTTAAGCTGCCCATAACCACAAGGGGAAGAAAAGAAAACCATTGGATTGAGAAAGCAGAAAGACACACTAAAAATACAAACATATTCTCTATAAGGGAGTAGAAACTGAGAATACATACAGAGTAGGTACAGAAGGTGACAAGGACCAGCCTTATTTGGATGTTCTAAGCTTCAAAAGAAGACAAAAATTAAAATAATACCATTTCAAGTACACACTGGATAGCTGCCCTAAATGAACTATATGCTGGGTCAAAAGGCAAACCGTAACACATTTCAAAAGACTGATATCACAGTGTATGTACTCTGACCACGAGGGAATTCAATTAGAAGTCAGTAACAAAGATAACATGAAAATCTCCAAATATCTAAAAATTGCAACACACTTCTAAATAATACGAGTTAAAGAAGACATCAAGTCGAAATTAGTATATATATTCTGAGCTAAATAATAAGAAATTGTAACACATCAAAATCTGTGGGATGCAGCTAAAGTGGAGCACGGAGAGAAATTGTGAAGGCTTTCAAAGCATATATTAGAAAAGAACAAAAAGTGAAACATCAGTGCTCTAAGGTAGGGGTTGGCAAAATTTTCTGTAAAGGTCCAGCTAGTAAATATTTTAGGCTTTGTGGGCCAAGAGACAAAATAGAGGATATTATGCAGGTACTTATGTTACAAAAGAAAACAAATTCTACCAAATGTTTATTGCCAAAATTCAAAATATAGTAATACTAATTGAGTACAATTTTTTTGGTGGTACAGGTCTACTAATGAGAAGAATGAAATTCTTTTATGAGGGAATAACATTTCACTTAACTGGGGTTTAAAATAGTTTTCCCTTGGTTACATTTCTTTATACTAACGATGAAATATCAGAAAGGGAATGTAAACAAATAGTCCCTTTTAAAATCACATCAAAAAAATAAAATACTTAGGAATAAACCTCACCAAGGAGGTGAAAGACTTATATACTGAGAACTATAAAACATTAACAAAGGAAATTGAAGATGATTCAAAGAAATGGAAAGATATCCCATGCTCTTGGATTGGAAGAATTAATATTGTTAAAATGGCCATACTACCCAAAGCAATCTACAGATTTAATGTGATCCCTACCAAATTATCCATGACATTTTTCACACAACTAGAACAAATAATCCTAAAATTTGTATGTAACCATAAAAGACCTAGAATTGCCAAAGCAATCCTGAGGAAAAAGAACAATGGAGGAGGCATAACCCTTCCAGACTTCAGACAATACTACAAAGCTACAGTAATCAAAACAGTGTGGGGCTTCCCTGGTGGCACAGTGGTTGGGAGTCCGCCTGCCGATGCAGGGGACACAGGTTCGTGCCCCGGTCCGGGAAGATCCCACATGCTGCGGAGCGGCTGGGCCTGTGAGCCATGGCCGCTGAGCCTGCGCATCCGGAGCCTGTGCTCTGCAACGGGAGAGGGCACAACAGTGAGAGGCCCGTGTACCGCAAAAAAAATAAATAAAACACAGTGTGGTATTGGCACAAAGCCAGACATACACATCAGTGGAACAAAACAGAGAGCCCAGAAATAAACCCATACACCTATGGTCAATTAATCTTTGACAAAGGAGGCAAGAATATATAATGGGGAAAAGACAGTCTCTTCAGCAAGTAGTGTTGGGAAAGTTGGACAGCCACATGTAAATCAATGAAAGTAGAACACACCCTCACACCATACACAAAAATAAACTCAAAATGGCTTAAAGACTTAAATGTAAGACAAGACACCATAAAACCCCTAGAAGGGAACATAGGCAAAACATTTTCTGACATAAATCATACAAATGTTTTCTTAAGTCAGTCACCCAAGGCAATAGAAATGATTGCAAAAATAAACAAATGGGATCTAATCAAACTTATAAGCTTTTGCACAACAAAGGAAACTATAAACAAAATGAAA